GGTTTGGAGTATTTGACGCTGTGTCGGTCTCAATTCAGTTCAATACTTTATTAATCCCAGAGGGAAATTGATTGAAGTCTCCACTTCGGTCTCTGGGAGAGTTAATCAGCAAAAGAGACCCCAAGATGCCCTGGTAGCAGCTGCTGTAGAAACATTCTGCAGGCTAAGGAAACTAGTCTTCAACAGCTTGGTGCGAGAACCACAGACGATATTCTGCGGTCTTCCCGACAACCGGAGCTCCAAAATAAGGCAAGCAGAAAACCCAGACTTGCTGCCCGATATATCCGCTTTCCCCTCAGAGGCTGGGTTCGGAATCAGGGTCTGCAAGTAGACAGAGTGAGAAGCTGGTACCAGAGAGGTTTAGTGAAAAGTCACTTGATGCTATTGCTTACAGCATTCGTGGAGGAGAGAAGGGGCGTCAGGTCAGAGGAATCCAGGTAGCGGGGACAGGAGAGCGGGTCTGGCGAAGGAGTGAGACGTGAGCAATTGAAGACATCCGGGAGGTTATAGCTGAACAGAAACTGGAAACGGGAACAAAGTTAGCTTGCGACAAGGGTCGAGGAGGTTCTTGGTAAGCGCTACCCAAAGTAAGTAATCATCCGCATGGCTCTTGTGTCGCTACTCTTTTTATGCCATGCTGGTTGATGGGATGACCAGCTGCAGCTGGGCCCGCTCCTCGGCACCGCCCACCTACAGGTTTAGAGCAATTCCGGTGTTATGTCGATATGCGTTTCACCTTCGAGATCTGTTTCTTTTCCACCCAGCTGCGAGTTTGAATCACCCAAAAATGCGTGTCCTAACCCTTATCCTAACCATAAGCCTAAAACAAACATATAATCGTGCTCAGAATCATTGGCGTAGTTTTATTTACTCGTTGGTGGGGACTTATAAATCTAACACGACCCCCCATGATAAAACAATAAAGCTCTGATTTCCCACTTTTACTATACTACATACTTTATTGTAATATTAAATGTTGGAAAGCTTTAGTTTGTCACGACAATTTAACATTAAACACGTCAATTTATCCCTTTAACAACAGTTATTTCATATAAACTTATTTCTAAGTTTATAAGAGTTCTTTAATTTTTGTAATTTTAATAAGATTTGTTTTTTCCTCAAAAAGCTACTTTATTGAATCGTAAACATGGTTTCTGTCCACTGGTGGAAGCTAAAGTTGCCCAGTATAAATTGCATTTTGTTTTATTGTTGTAAAAGTAAATTATTGTTGTATTAATATCAGTCAAAAATGCTTTCTGATCATTGGTTCATGTGCCAGGCTTTAAAGGATTAACTGTCTCTTGGCTGATAATATTTTTGCACAAGGCTGCAGAATTCCCTCTTAGTCTGAATGGAAGTTAGACTCAGAGAGAAAGAGAACTAACCATGATTAACATGGTTCTTTTTCTCTCAGAGAGGGGTAAATCATCAGGTAAATCACCTGTAGATGAGCTACAAATGTTTAAGCTGCTGTATGTTAGTGTGAGTCTCCCGTGACAATATGCACAACCAATCACACTGGCCATTATGGAGGTAGGACTTGTGGAGTGTACTTCATTTGACCCTTTCTGCACATCTAGGCTAACCAAACATTGAATGGCTTGTTGTTATTTAGTGGAGGCAGACAAATTATTGGTGGGGACTATTTGGTCAATGCTGGATATTGGTGGGGACATGTCACCTCTGTCTAGGGCTCAAAAATGTATTGTTGACTCAATTCCTGCCTCATATCAAGATACTTTTCCCATGTCAATATATTTTCTAACAAAAGAATGAAAATAAGTCAGAAAGAGCTATGGAGAAAGATTTTACTTTAAAGAAAACTGGTTATGTTTGAGAAAATCCAGCTTTATTAGGCAAGGCAAGGCTTTATTTGTATAGCACGTTTCGAACACAAAGGCACTTCAAAGTGCTTTACAGAAGGCAAGAACAGCAAACACAATAAATCAAACAAAAAATGTAGATATTAATTTCAGATTCTAAAAAGAGATAAAAATCATTGTCAAAATGGTAGCAGTTAAAGTGCAGCAGCATAAGAAATATTTATTCAAAGGCTGATGAAAACATGAATGCTTTTAACTTTGATTTAAAAGTTTCTAGAGTTGGGGCACATTTGAGGTCATGATGAAGTAGATCCCATCTGTGTAACATAGTAGCTTAAAGCAGCTTCACCCTGTTTGTTTCTGACCAGAGGTTCTACCAGCAGACTGTTTCCCAAGGATCTGAGTCCTGCTGGGTGTATATACTGGAAGGAGATCCAACATCTGCTTTGGCCCCAGGCCATTGAGAGATTTATAGACTAGTTACTTTACTGGTCACCAGTGTAGAGATTTAAGAACATGTGTGATGTGCCCGGTTCTTTTGGTTTTTGTTAAGACTCTAGCAGCAGCATTCTCATTAAGTTATAGTTGTTTTACAGCTGTTTTGGGGAGACCAGTTAGAAGACCAATGCAATAGTCCAGCCTGCTGAAGATGAACACATGAATTAGTTTCTCTAGGTCTTGTAAAGAGTTTAATTTACATGTTATTTAATGAACCACGAGACATGAGATTCCATAGAAAATATGAAATCAATCTGATGGATCTTTGGGTAATTTTAACCAGAAGATTGGAACTTTTTATTGCAGGGATTATGTAACACGTCGTATTGACTGAGAGACAACAGAAGAGGGAGTCAAGTTTTAAAAGTTTAAAGATTTATTACTAAACAAATTAAAACTAGATTAACTTTAAACACTAAATGTATGGTGTAACTAAGGTGAAGTGAGACGGAGAATGGTGTAGTGTGGAATGTTGTTCAGAACCAGCAATTCCGGAGAAACGATTAGTTCCGATGGGAGTGAAGGTGATGTCTTCGTGCTAAGCTTTGATTCGGAGAGTCATAAACACATAAGACGCCATTTTGTCGCTCCACACATACCCTTAGAATGAGACCTCCGTACAGATCCAGAATGCCAGGTCCTCGAACCCCTGTTTTGGTACCGGAGCCGATGAAACAGCGTCAGCAGTATGACAGACTAGTCTTTGGATTGTCTCCAGGTAAAAAGCGACAGTTGGTTGACAGCGTCAGATGGACCCGGAGGGTCAATGAGTTCAGCTTTTATTCTGAAAGGAACCGTTGCTTGGTTGGTAAAATGCAACAGATTTTATCCAGCTTGTCGTTGGTTCGTTGGCAGGAGGCTCATCAACCAGGACAGCCCCGACATTATATTATAGTGATTAGCAGAGGCTACCTATTGGTGACCCGGCTCTGATTGGGTAGGGCAGCACCAAGCCCCCACAATGCCGCTCAGAAAATGGTCCCAACCCGGAAGTAAGAAAAATTGCAGTTCCACCCTCATCCGCTGGGGGCTGGTACCAGAAGCGAGCAAATCCTCATTGACTCCCATGTTAAAAATGCCATTTTCACAGCAGAAATAAACATGTTTACAGCCTGGTTCAAAAAATGGTTTTTTGTCTAAATTATCTAGTTTATACTCATGACAACTCTGAGGGGGGTGAATTTTTTTCTCACTCTTCTGTTTAAGTGTATTGAAAGCCTAAAATTCTGTATAATTAATGAGCATCCGACACACGTGACCGCCGCCTCAGACCCACGTGACCACAGAGCTAGCTCCGTGGAAAGGCCTCAGTACAGCCTCGGTCTCTCCTGGAAACTGTGTCGGGATTTTGAGTCTCTGTGCTTGTGAATTCTGTTTTGGATAATATTGGTGCAATTGTTGGACAAAATGACTTGCTGTGGTATTAATTGCACTAATAGAGCGTCCAAGGAGTCTCCACTTCATTTTTTTCGGTAAGTTAAAATCTATATTTGTATTTTATGTCACTGCTGCCTTTAAACTAGCTGAGTTTACCGAAGTAGCTAGCTAACTATCAGTTTAACATGTAGCATGTACTGTTTAACCATGAAATTTAAATGTAAAATACGGTAAAATAATTAATAGGGCATATTTAAATGGGTAATAGGGTAAAACCCAGTGCATTTAAGATAAAAATGGGTTGAAATATGACGGGGCGCGCCGCTTGGGGGGACACTTCTGTGCTCTATTCTTTCATCCGGTAATCCCCAGCGGTCAGGCCGGGCAGGCTGATCGATGCGGCGCCTCGCTGCTGCGGGCTGACCGCTCGTGGAACTCGGAGACAGATCTGACCGGAGAAATACTGCAGCTCGTTGAGAAGTCTATAGGGCATACAGCGTTTCCCTTAAATCCCACTGCCACGCCGACAAGATCCCAAGTTTCTTTGTTTTTGTTGGCGCTGTTTACCGAAGAAGCAGCGGGAATACCAGCAACTTTCATCAGACTCCTAAAGTTAGTTTTTGCAGGGGACCCCCTGTATTTTACTGCTCCCTCCTGCAGTCTTCCCCTATTAAAATTTAAAATGTGTAACTTCATGTATTGGGATGAATGACTAATATTCATGTTAACTAAAACGTTAGGTATTTAGGGGGAAAAAACAAAATAATAAACATTATACAGATGTCAAATAAATCAAACTGTAATTAAACTTTATATTTTCAAAGTCTCGATTCTGGATAAAATCCAACAACATATGCTTTATAAATAAACACTACGCATGGCTTTTACACACACACACACACACACACACACACACGTTACATTGTGATTTCTTAGTAAATATTCTATTTGGCGAGAGATAAACTTTATTGTATTTATCCTAGTGGATCTATAATTAAACGGGTAAACTAGCAGTAGTACATCCAACATCAAAGAAAGTAAAATGTTATTATCAGGAGAGGGAGAATGATTAAGTGGTTAGCGGCAGTGTGCTAGATGATGGCCCCCTCCATGAGGCCACCACAGCTCAGCAGAACATCGTTGTAGCTTCTTCTGGGGAGAAAAACACTTAGAGAGAAAATAAAGTTAACAGCTGAAATAGCAGGAAATAATACAGTTAAAGAGCAGATTGTAGAAGAAAGAAACCCCTGGGTTAAACTGGTCTGTCTACTGCATAATGCTGAACTCTAACATGTGTCCTCAGGAAAGGACCTGATTGGTGTCCAGAACCTGCTGAAGAAGCACCAGGCTCTGCAGGCTGAGATCACAGGTCATGAACCTCGCATCAAGGCTGTCACCCAGAAAGGAGAGACCATGGTGGAAGAAGGTAGAGCAGGTCTGGTCCTGACATGTTTCTGAGGTGTCTGCAGGTTCTGGCTCACTTTGTTTGGGTCCAGGTCACTTCGCTGGTTCAGAACCCTCGGCCCGTCAGAACATTCTTATCCACCACGTTCTAACACCAGACCTGTTAACCCGACAGCAACAAGTGGCTCCAACTGACGATGAGACCGGGAAGGAGCTGGTTCTGGCTCTGTACGACTACCAGGAGAAGAGTCCTGGAGAGGTCACCATGAAGAAGGGCGACATCCTCACGCTGCTCAACAGCACCAACAAGGTTCGTGTGCCCTTCACAGCCGAGGAACGACCTCCAGCTCAGAGCGAACATCTCCACACCTGCTTTGTGTTTGTGTGACTTTAGGTTGTTTTACTTGAACTCGCGTCTTTAGCTGAATGAGGATGGAGAGACGGGTCGGACCTGGAGCAGGTCGAGGTCTTGCAGAAGAAGTTTGACGACTTCCAGAAGGTCGGACTTTTCCTCCTCTCCGTCTTCCAGCAGCAGCTGTCAGATCAGCTCAGGTGATAATCAGCAGGTGCTTTTGTCCTGCAGGACCTGAAGGCCAACGAGTCCCGCCTGAGGGACATCAACAAGGTGGCATCTGAACTGGAGTCAGAAGGTCTGATGGCTGAGGAGGCTCCTATGGTTCAGGCTCAGGTGAGCGTCACCTGTCTGCAGCAGCTGGTCCCTCTCACTTCCTGGTTTGTTAACTCTGCTCGTCTCTGTTTGTAGCAACAAGAACATCTGGGTTCTGCTCCTGGAAAGGTGCGTGTTGTCCTCCGCCTCCACCAGAACCAGACGTGGTGTTTTTGTTACCACTCATTTGTTTGTTTACAGGATGAAGCCGACTCTAACCCCGGCTTTCCACAGGAGTCGTCAGCAGCACGTTACTGCAGCAGCACGTCATAGCTGCTGATAGGAACCGCTGTGGTCAACAGAACCTTTTCCACCGGAGCCGTCAGCAGCGCGAGTCGGCCACGTCTCAGGAGCAGCATGTCGCGGGAAGGGCCGAGCAGCAGCTTACGCGAGCAAGACGTGCTGCTGCAGTAACGTGCTGCTGACGGCTCCCGTGGAAACCCGGGGTAACACGGCGTCACCCTAGAAGGTGAGTTCATTCAGCTGATCAGAGGTCACCTCTGATGGCCGCAGTCACGGCCGACCGTGCTGACATCACACAGGAATTCAGGTGACCCGGCAGGCACCAGGTGCTGGTGAAAGTGGGGACATGTCAGCTGGTTGCCATGGCTACAGTTATCTTTATGCATCTGTATGACTGCTGACTGGTGTGTGTTTCCTGTGACCTTTGACCTCAGACCGTACGGTTGGGCGTTCAGACGACGGCTAACTTTAATTCCATCAAGGTAAGAGGAAGCTCTTCCCTTCCTGTCTGAGCGATCCGTCTCCAGGTTTCCTCGTCCGGCGTCCAGCCCGCTGGCGTCCACCTTCATCTCACTGGGTTTGGTTTCTCTCCAGGAGCTGAACAACCGCTGGCGCTCGCTGCAACATGCTGGGCAGCGCCCATGAGGTGTAGCGCTTCCACAGGTACCCCGCACACTTATGCGCCGCTTACGGGTCAGTAGAGTTTGGACCCACACTCAGACGGAGTTCTGATGTCTTCTCAGAGACGCTGATGAGACCAAAGAGTGGATCGAGGAGAAGAACCAGGCCCTGAACACAGACAACTACGGCCACCACCTGGCCAGCGTTCAGGCTCTGCAGCGTGAACATGAAGGCTTTGAGCGTGACCTGGCAGCTCTGGGTGATAAGGTCCGCTTTCCTGATTGGTACCAGGACCCGAGTTGTCTCTGGAGACACGTTCTTCATGGTTCTGGTGACTACACCCCAGCCGTTCCTGATCAGCAATCAGCGGGGTGCTTTCCTATTTAAGGTGGATGGAGGACACAATTTGACGCCAGAAGATTGCCTCAGTTTTGGTAGTAACCAGCCACTCGTGTTACCTCTAGTGTTCCTAGGATTAATGTTATTTCGTAGTGTTTTTGCTCTTATATTGGATTTACCATTCTTCAGGATTCCTGTCGACCTCATTGGATACTGACCTCTACTCCAGGATTTGGATATTCAACACACGGACCTTATCACCACCCTCCATAACCCACCTCTCATCTCACCCAGTGCCCCATCCACCAGGACGCCCCGCTTCTCTCCACCTCTGCTCCCTCTCCTGCGCTTCCCCCGGCTCTCTACCTCTCCCTCCTCCAGCCAACACATACACCCACCACAGTAAGTCTGCTGAACACCTCTGCCTGCCTACAATGGATTTTGAAACCAGAACCTAAGCTCACCTGTGTTCTCCCTCCTCCAGACGCTGAGCTGTTGTTGCAGTTCCAACCACAGACTTATCTGTGCACCTTAAGTTCCTCCTTATAAATAAATCATTTTTTCCATCAGTTTTTGGTCAGTGTTGTATTCTGCATGTCTTGGGTTAAGTACCTTCCTCCAAACATGACACTCCTCTTCAAAGAGCAAATCTGTTCAGCACATTCTGACAGACAGACCACCATTCTTCTGTCATGATGCTGTACAGGACATTTTTAGAGTTTTTCTTTTTAAAGATAAATAGGATTACATTTAAATAGCAATACTTTCACATTATCATTTTCCCACACTTCTGTATAACTGTATTTTGTTGTTTTTCAATAAAGAATGACAAAGTTTGGATTTGTTGCACACAAATATATATCTGTAAAAAATATCTACAAAACTAATGTATACATAACAAGTATGATTGGGTTTTGCAATACGGCACTATTTTAGTAAGATTTTTAAACCAAGTAAAGTTAGTAAAGAACACATTTCTATTGTCTGCTAAGAAACTGTTGGGATTTAAAATGGGCCTGTTGTACAAATAACTTGTAAATGATTATTCCTCACTTTTGTCTTAACCAAAGAAATTCCAGTAATTGAGCAAAAACATTTATTTTTAACACTACATTTTATAAAACAGCGCGCAAAGTGTCGGCACATGTATGTATGTCGATGGTCCGCCCCAACCAAACCAGGAGACACAGACGTCAGGGAGGCCAAGGTTGTCTCTGCAGCTCTCTGGGCACCACACCTCACTCAGCTGTCTCCAATTATCCAAATGGCTATGGAGAAAAAATAACAGGTTTGTCATAATTGTTTAAAGTACAAAACCACACATGAAGTGGTGAGACAGGTATGTGGAACTTACACTTGCTGCTTTGCATAGCTGATGTTGGAGACACACAGGCTGCCATGGTGACATTTAAACAGATCTAACAAAAAAATAAAAATGAAACTTAAAAACTCCCAGACCTCATGTCATATTTACTAATCAGCTATGGCTGATTTATTGTTTGGATCACAGTGAGTTACACTAATTCTAATATATTTTTATTTCTATTATACATACATACTTTTTAACTGTTATTTTCACATGACTGTTATCAGGCTCTCTTGTTCTGGTTCTCATGATAACTCTGTGTCTTCCAGTAAGTTATCTTGTGCTTACTTCATCTGTAGAATGTCTCTTTACTTTTGGTAAATTGTACTGAGTCCAGAATAAAGACTAGTTGGCTGTACAAGATACAAACAAGTATAACATTTTGGAAATATATGAAATGTATTTACGCTGCTTATTTAGCTCGAATACTAATAACTGCAATATTTTCCGGACTATAACTCGCACTTTTTTACATTTTCTGGCAGGTCCTGCTACTTATACTCCGGAGCGACTTATATAACAAAATATGTAGGCTACACCGCGCTGCTGCGGGCCGACTCCGACCCACACAAGAATGAGTTCCCCTGTCCCGCTGGGAGGGTTTCAAACACCGCCAGCATCTGTTAGAGCCTGTGGCGGGGTGCTGAGGGCCGGCTCCAGCCCAGGAATGAGCTGTCCTCGCCGGCCGGGAGGGTTTGAAACACCGCCATCCTCTCCTCTGCTGGCTGTTGTTCATTCTGTTATGGTTACCGGTGCTTGTGTTGCTATGTGAAACGCTTGGTCTCAGATTTTGTAAGAAAGATAATAAAATGTCCCCCCAAAATACGACTTAAATATATTTTCTCTTATTCATGATACATTTAATGGCTGGTGCGACTCAGGAGTGATAGCGCCGAAAAAAACTACTGAAAACTTGCTCAAAGCAAAATGTATTCATTACGGAAATAAATTATAAACTTACCGATTTAAAACTTTTTTAATACAGGTACTTCTCACGAACAGGCGCAGAAAACCTCCACCTAAACTCCGTGTGAGGTTCAGGTCGATGGGTGTTCCAGTTAGCTCCAGTTGGGTTGAAGCTAGGTGGCTACATCCGTTAGCTCGGCTCCCACCTCCGCTTTAGCTTTGGGTTAGCCAGGGTTAGCTTCAGGTTAGCTCGTAGCTAGTTCGCCTGGGTGTCGTCACTCGAGCCCAGCCTTACAGCCCCACCCTCAGCGCCTCCTCTCTTCCCTTTTATGGAATTGTCTGGGCTGGACGGAACCTGTGACACGGTCAAAATGGCGGTGGTGGACACCTCCCATTATGGACAGATAACGTGTTATTGAAGCCTATGGAATCGAATTGTCCAGTATATGTACAGTCTATGGGCAGCACTCTCCCGGTTGTGGAGGCTGACGAGGGCAGTCCATAATACGTCTCGGTTGAGGCAAACTGCATCATAGTTTTCGTGTGCAGTGATGCACGGGATATCTGCAAAAATGATTAAAGTCGTTTCACTGAATATCCTAATCATCTATGAAGCACACAACAGCTCTGGATGCTAAAATTCTCCAAAACCATTGGTAATTGAAAACATTTGATCACACGATAGCTTACTGTTAACTTCTGCTGATAAAAATGTGAGCTCTTGACAACAAACACTCACCCTCTCAGTTACCATGGAGACGCAATTGCCGCACACGCACCACCGGTTTTGCCCTGCTCTCGCTTCAGCCTGCCCTTCTTGCTCTTCATGTTGATGCTTGTTTTGTGAACTATCGTCAGTGATGTCCTCATTAATGTTTCGCTCTGGTTCAAATTGAAAAGACTGAACAGATGACATGTTTATGTCGCTGAACAGTCACTACAGGGTTCCAAAGCTGGTCGGTGTAACCGAGGTACAACCAAATGACGTCACTACCCAGTGTGCATTGCGACGCTAACAACAATGGCGACCTACGGGTTAAACTATTTTTACAAATTTTATAAAAATGAAGACATTAAGAAGGTTTTTTTTACACCATTTTTAAAAAGATGAGACTAACATTTATCTTTTAAGAACCACAAGGTTTTGTAACCTGGGTTCATTTTAAGTCATGCAAAAAAAAAAAAAGCATTGTGTAATGGAAAACAAACTAAAATGGTACACAAGTGGACCGAACCAAAATGGTTCGACCGTGAACCGTTACACCCCTACAAAATAGCATCAAGAGGAATCAGATAATCTCATGCATTCTTCTGAAGCAGCATCTTAATCAGCTTTCCCTATTTTGTTTCTATTGCAGCTGTTGGCAAAACATGGCTAAATAAAACCTGCTACATCTTCAGGATCATCAATCACTGTCTACTCCACCATATAGCTTTGGACAGCATGAATACAGGTACAGCTACACAACTACAACGGTGTGTGTGTGTGTGTGTGTGTGTGTGCTTGTATTTATAGGTTTATATGGACAAATTTGAACTTTTAACCTGTAGTGTGTGGACATTTTCACATTGTTGGGACATTTGGCTGGTCCACACAATGACAAAATCCCCTAAAACATGGTTTTAGTGATATGTTGTGAATTAACTATTGTTTAGGTTAGGTTTAGGAATAGAACAGCATTTGTTATGGTTAGGATTGGGGTATGGGTTAGGCCAAATACAGTCACAAAAATGAAAAAAATAAATATGAGTGTAAGTCATTAGAGGGTCCTCACAAGTCAGCACGTTCTCACTCCCAACACGTCCTATACTGACGCTTGGGCAGGCTCCCCCTGCGTCTGTGTGACGTGGAGGGAACTCTCCTCGTGATGCATGGGGCTCAGGGCTGATTAGAGGGAGAAATGCCGATCCACACATCGGTCGATAGGTGGCAGTAATGCCCCTTACGTTGCTTGCATCAAAAGTAGATAACGGTATCTAAAATGCTTTTACAGCTAATGCATCAGTTCTTTTATATTTTTTTCATCTTTGCAATCCATCTATAATGTCTATTGTCCAGCTTATGTGGGGAAAAAAAGCATTTATTTTACCATCCGACTTGTATAGTAAAGCTCTTTCATTTATGTCAATTTTTGTAACAACAGAAAAAAATTGTAATTTAAACAAGGGAGACGTGTGCGGGGGATCTCTTTCAGATTACACAAATAGACGAATTTTTAAACCAAGCTTTTTTCCTTTTTTCGTAAATTTTCGTCAGTGACGTCATTTTTAAGAGCCAAAGAGCGCTCAGGGAAAGCCTGATGGATATTGGAGTACGAAAAACGTATTGGGTGGAGTGGTTATAAATTTAGGTTTGCAGTGTAGTTTTTAAAACTAAGTGGTGTGTTAGGAATAATTTATTTTATTATTAATTTTTTATTATTTTATTTTATTTTATTTTTTATTGCTCTTTTATTCCGAGCACGGCTCCAGCACAGTAGGTGGCGGTAATGCACCCGGAAGTTGGTTACCACCCATCCCTAACACCAGAAAGAAGGAAAAGAAGACGTCATTTGTACGCGTTCCAGGTAGGCACACGTTTGTTTGTTTTCTATGTGATATAAAACATACAAAAAAACAAATTTTTTAGCTCTCAAAGTTGTTGGCAGTTTGTGGAGTTAATGGTAACACATTCACGCCACAGTGAATGATTTTTGACATTTATAGATATGTTTAGCTTGATTTGAACCTGCACCGCATGTGGGGGGAAACGTGTGTATGTTCATTATATTAAATGCGCCAAAACGAATATTTTTGCTCTGAAAGATACTGTTGGCAGTTTAGGGAGATAATGCTAGCAAATTCACACCACAGTGAATAATATATAATGTTTATTTATCCTCTTGTGCCACACAAAATATTCAGTAAGCTAGCTAAAGTAGCCGCCATTAGCCACATTAGGTTAAACAATGGCTGGACCTCTTAAATATAAAAACTATCCGTGGCACAGTACCAGAGAAACGTGTACTCTTGGTTATTGCTGCCACTCTGTGACGTCTGATGTGTTCTTATAATCATCAGAGAGCCAAAACTGTATTTATGATTTACTGTACAGCATGTGGCATTTAAAAGCAAGCCAAACTTTCCCCAGAACCGCCAAAATGTTCTTCATCTGTCAGTGATGTTCATTCATTTTGTCAGCGGTGATTACAGAGACACTGGTGTCTAAATTTTATAAAGTGTTTAATTCTGAACATTTTATTTCTTTCTCTCAACAGGCTCTTCATTGATCCGCCCGTGTGCTTATCAACACTATTTCTGCTCTTCATTAAAACTCCCAAAGGCACTTTTAAGAGCCACGTCTGTCTTCTTTATCTGTTCTTACTGCTGTCCTTATTCTTGTCTGTTGTCCCTCTTCGCGTGTCTCTGCCTCTGTGTTGTCTTAGGTGTATTTGTGTTAGTTGTCTTGTCATACATTGTCTTTTGTACATCAGGTGTTTCCATTTTTTGTGTCCAACATGACACGTCCCAAAGTCAGGCCCTGTCCATCTTGCCAGACTCCCAATCAGGCAAACAGAAAAACCTGCAGTTTCTGCTTCAAATCTCTATCTACTAAAAGAACCTTTAAAAACAAGGTACAATCACTGGATAGTCAGTGGGCTCAAGCTGTCATAAAAAACAGAAACACTGGCCGAATCATCGACTCTGCATGCATTGCAGTAAGTAAACCTTTTTATTACTGAAAACTTAGTTGTTTAATGTAATCCACATTCTCAATTTAGCTACATGTATTGTGTGCTCTAAAAAACCCTGTTGTTGCTTTTAACACCTCTAGTACATGGTGTGTTGAAGTAATTAGTGCCAATTATTAATTTTAGGTGCAAAAACTTGATGCAATTGGAAGCAGGCCTATCTTATTTCTTGGCAAGCAAGACAAAGTGTCAAATAAGTGGGTAGCAGATGTCATCACCAATTTGGAACCCACTTCCACTACAAGACACCTACTGGAAAAGATGAAGACAGCTTATGAATTTCTCTTGACTATGGGTAAGAGTAAAATATTTTATGTGGTAAAACTTCCTACAGTTCAGCCTAACTTACCTACATACAAGTGAAAAAAATATATATGTATGCTGTGTATGTATGTATATGTGAATGTATGTATGTGTGTATATACACGTATGTATGTATTTATGTATGTATGTAGTGTGGATGTTTAATGTACATAAATATGTGTGTGTACACACACACACACACATATATATATATATATATATATATATATATATATATATATATATATATATATATATATATATATATATATATATATATATATAATGTGTGTGTGTGTGACTGTATTCTAGGCTGCCCCATAACTGTGCAACAGGACACCTCCACAAGCCAGCAAGATGTAATCAACAATCAGGCAGAGACCGTCATTGAGGAGCAATCAGAGGTGGTCGAGGAGGCACATCATGTTGACCAGAAGCCATGGAAGCTCATTGAAGAGGCGGCAGAAATGCTCAGCCAGGAGCATACAAAAGTGCTCCCAGACAATCCAGAAGACAATATATTTGTGCTTCATCACACTCCAGTTTCTCCCCCTGTTACCCAGTCTTCTCTGAAAAAGAAAAGACAGAGGAGCACATCTCCTAAGCCCTCTACCACCTTTCAACCATCTGTTGCACCTACAGATCAACCATCTCCGCAATCTCCTCCTGCTGACCATGCCATTCCCCAGTCTTTGAGCCAGGATGGCCAAAATGAAACAGAGAGGAGAAAAAGTAAGTTTTGTATTGTATGATGTGTCCTAAAGTACATTTGTTCCTAAATGACTCAACCTTTTAAAGAGATCTTCATGATTTGACCTTGTCAGAACTTGCAAACCAGCACTTGGCAATGGGGAAGGGTGAAGTCCTTTATGTGGTAAATAATATACCTTTATGTGGTATAATCAACATACACATGTTTTCCCCCGCATGTGGTGCAGGTTCAAATCAAGCTAAGTGTCTATAAATGTCAAATCATTCACTGTGGCGTGAATGTGTTACCATTAACTCCACAAACTGCCAACAACAACTTTGAGAGCTAAAACATTCATTTTTTCTGTGTTTTATATCACATAGAAAACAAACAAACGTGTGCCTACCTGGAACGCATACAAATGACGTCTTCTTTCTGGTGTTAGGGACGGGTGGTAACCAACTTCCGGGTGCATTACCGCCACCTACTGTGCTGGAGCCGTGCTCGGAATAAAAGAGCATTGAAAATAAAATAAAACTAACTGAATAAATTATTCCTAACTAAAAACTACACTGCAAACCTAAATTTTGAACAACTCCACCCCATAACGTTTTTCATACTCCAATATCCATCAGGCTTTCCCTGAGTGCTCTTCGGCTCTTAAAAATGACGTCACTGACGAAAATTTACGAAAAAAAGGAAAAAAAGCTTGGTTTAAAAGTGCATCTATTTGTGTAATCTGAAAGAGATCCCCCGCACACGTCTTCCTTGTTAAAATAATACTTTTTTTCTGTTGTTAAAAAAATTGACATAAATAAAAGAGCTTTACAAACCGGATGGTAAAATAAATGCTTTTTCCCCCACATAAGCTGGACAATAGACATTATAGATGGATTGCAAAGATGAAAAAAATATAAAAGTACTGATGCATTAGCTGTAAAAGCATTTTAAATACGGTTATCTATTTTTGATGTAAGCAACGTAAGGGGCATTACTGCCACTCTCGTCTTGATTCGGTGCTATATAAATAAACTGAATTGAAATTGAATTGAATATGAAGTTCAAAACAGACGTGTACATTTACATAAATAAAATATGGAGCTTTTTAAAGATGTAAAAATAAATGACTTTTCTAGGTTCTACACTAGCTTTTTATTCAGGTTATTTAGAGCTTTTTGCGTAGCATTGTGGTGTTATGGGTTAGATATGTGAGCGCTCGCTGGTTATCTGCAAAGAGTTTGCACATTTGTTTCTGTATGAGTTTTCTACTGCTCCAAAGACATGCAATTGATGCAAATTGGTGAAAAATGGCTGATAAAGAGTGGATCTTACTGGGCTACAATAGCTGGTTTTACAGACAAAACTGCAACAAAAAAATGCATATTTTCTTTTGTAATTACACTAAATTGGCATTTTTGCCATCAGTATTATATGTTTTGTTTGTGTCATATGATGTTTCAAAACAATTCGCAACACTCCTGCAAATTTTCTTCAGGAAATGTTAGCAAAAATCTGAATTTACCCTATTTTCACAACTTGGTCACCAATCCCTTCCCAAAATAACTTTAAAAGGGTTCCAGAAGCCTGTGCTAAATTCATTACGAAATAAAATATTTTGACTTTTCGCAATTCCAGCAACATAAAACCAACTGAGAATTGAGGGCCATCATCAGTGTTTGGAAACAGAAGGCACATGCAAACATTGATGATTGTCATGAGAGGATTAGTACATATTTTGCCAGTGATAATTCTGCAGTTATAAATTGCTAATTGAATGTCAGATTAGAACAGAATAATTACTTTGGTCCTTATTGAGATCACAATTATTTAAAATGATGAGTTCACATTTTAAAGAGACTCTCCTTTAAAATGTAATTAATGCCTAACCCTTATTAATAGTAATAATAAATTAACAAGGTGTGAAAATCATGGGTGTTGCTGCATCTTGCCTGGTTGAGTAAGAACAAACACTCCGGCATACTTTCTGTACTGGACAGATAAGCAATGGAGACTTAGCCATACCAGAGTAGAAATAAATTATCCGACACAAACAAGTATTTTTGTGTTTGAGTAAGATCTTACCAACGGATACCCATTAGGGTCAAAAATCCCTGGGAGTGCGACCTTCAGCAAAATAACGAGCACATCAGACTCCCTTTCATCACTGGCAACGAGTGAAGAAGTAAATGTGGAAAACAACAACATTAATGAATGGTGAAAGTTTTGTAACCGCTTGTTATAAATCAGTAAACTAATTTTGTCCTCACGGGCTCCTGTAGAAGGAAATATGTCGTCTAATATGGCGTTGCCCCGAGATTTAGACCTGCTCCCATTTTAGACCCAATTTTTATAGTTATAGTTATAACGTTGCTAATTTTTCTCAACAACTGGGCATCATTTAACTCATTTTCAACAACATTTTGATTAATATTTCCAGAGATTAGTGGTAAAAATGACACATTATTACTGCAGCCCTACCACAGCTGCTGTTGATAAATTAACCCTGAAATTATACTAAAGCTTAAATATTATATGTTCATCTCTTATTTGCCTCCCTTCGTCTCACTAAAGCCCTGTATTTAAAACTGTTAAATTGGAGAAGAAAAATAGTGGTAAAGCCACAAGATAGGTCCAAGTGCAGTAATTAAAATGCAGATTGACCTATAGAGCTCCGGGAGTTGACGTCACTTCTCCCGGCATGCAACAGTTCAAATCGAAACGGCGCCATATTGGCATGCAGAAGCCGGCAGCTGGACTATTTACTATTGTCAGAAAACTCAATCAAACGGGAAATATGGTAGATTCCTGTTGTGCCCCAGGATGCAGAACAGACGCGGACGACATAAGGAATGAGACATCTACAGGATTCCCCAAGATCCGGAGCGCCGCAAACGTTGGATCATTATAATAAAACACGCTAGTGACCGGGCGAAAATGAAGCTGTGGGATCCCGAGAGTAAAGGTTTTCGCTTATGCAGCGACCACTTCATATCAGGTACTTAAACCAATGTTTCCTCAACTGTGTATGGTATTTATTTTAAATGCTTTTATTATGATTCTTAGTGGGCTTCCTAAACTTATTTTGGCGTGGCTTTTTCTGTCTTATTACTCATAGCAACAAGCAAACATCACGTAAAACGTTGCCTCGTGAGTTCTGCGTGCTGCCGTTTATGTGTTTTATGATGACAGCAATTAACCGGCTAAGCCGTATTTAATTTTTAAGCAATGGTTGATCAGATCACACATAAAAAGCACTTTGGATTGCTATTATCTGTGTCACCGAGACTACTTACATGTAAATCTGTTATTTGTCCGTCCATCCATCCATTTTCATCCGCGTATCCGGAGTCGGGTTGCTGGGGCAGTAGCGTGACTTCCCTCTCCCCAGCCGCCGGAGCCAGCTCCTCCGGGTAAATCCCAAGGGGTTCCCCGGTCAGGTCCGGTGCTGTGCCGGTCCGCTCCGACAACTTCTGGCGTCGGAGCGGGCAGTAGAGTCGAGAGTCCCAGACCTTCTCCCCAGCTCCTCCGGCCGGGGGAATCCCAAGGGGTTTCCCCAGCCAGGTCCGGTGTTGTGCCGGTAAGAAGTCCGCTACGACTTCTGGCGTTTTTAAAAAGTATCCCAGGGGCACGGTAAGGGTCGGAGATGTTTAGTCTATTTAATTTCTGACTATATAAAACGATTTCTTCTGTTTTAAAGTGTGAAGTAAACTCCGACGAAGTAAAATCCAAGCGGATCCCGTTCATGTTCATGGTTACATCCGTGTTTGTTTACCTTTTTTGCATGCCAAAATGGCGTCCACTAACTGAGAGTCACGTGGGGTCCGGAGCTCTATAGGACGAGTAGAGAGTTCCCTCCACATCACACAGACGCAGGGGGAGCCTGCCCAAGCGTCAGTATAGGACGTGTTGGGAGTGAGAACGTGTTGCACAAGCGTGTGTGTGTGTGTGTGTGATCTTTTTAATTACCTTCTGGGGACAATTTCTTGGTTTTATCCTGCAACACAGGGATCTTTGAACATGTTGGGACACAAGGAGATGTTAACATTGGAACCTGAATCCAGAATAAATTCCACTTCTTATTTCTATCACAATTCAGTTAAACACATTCCTTCAGTTATTTTAGTCACTTTTTGAAACACATTCATTTGGCAGTACTTCAGTTATTTTTAACATGACAGTTTTGTTTTAAACAAAAACACTTTAGACTGAACAAGTTCTTCAGGATAAGGATTGACTCAAAGGGCTGGGTTGGTCGGGTTGGGCTTGCGCCACGGCTGGGGGAGTAGTAGCCCACCCCTCTCTGACACTGGGTGAAAGGCAGGCTGTTGAAGAATATGTGGTCGGCGGGTGCTGTGGCAACTCTGGACACGTGCTGGGCTATTCATTCCATGATCCATTCTTGTGGATCTCCCCAACTGCGGCGCTCGTGGGGCTCCCGTTTGCAAGACTGTTTCCCCTTGGGTTGTCTTGGCTGGCAACTAGCAGCTGATTTTGAACTGGTGTAGACCAGGATAATGGTCGCAAAGACTCATGGGGGTGTTGACACAATGTGGTTTCTGCCCAGTGCTCTTAACCCTCTCAGGCTCAAAATAAGTTTTGATAAAAGGACGAACAACTAAGTCCTTCAGGGGTACTTCTGAGTTAAAAAATGCTCATGAAATATGTATGTGGGGTAACCAGGTAGGTAGGTTTTAACTTGCAAATCTGCAATGCCTGCCTCCAGAGGGTTAATGTTAAAGTGAAGAAATTCAATCAAGCGAGGGTAAACTGTGGGAGTAACTATAACTCTCTTAAGGTAGCAAAATATCTTGTCATTTAATTAGTGACGTGCATTAATGGATGAACGATATTCCCACAGTCCCTACCTCCTATTTAGCGAAATCACAGCCAAGGGAACGGGCATGGCAGAATCAGCGGTGAAAGAAGACCCTGTTGAGCTTGACTCTAGTCTGGCACCGTGAAGAGACATGAGAGGTGTAGAGTATGTGGGAGGCCTCGGCCGACAGTGAAATACCACTACTCTTATCGTTTTTTTCACTTACCCGGTGAGGCAGAGAGGTGATCCCCAAGAGGGCTCTCGGTTCTGGTGTCAAACACCCAGTGCATGCCGGGCGTGACCCACTCCAGGGACAGTGGCAGGTGGGGAGTATGACTGGGGCAGTACACCTGGGGTAGTGACGAGATAAGATTTGGGAAAAACAAGATTGCGGATACAAGCGGCTGATAGTAGGTTTCTTCACAGAGTGGCTGGACTCTCCCTTAGAGACAGGGTGAGAAGCTCGGTCATCTGGGATGGGCTCGGAGCCACTGCTCCTCCACGTTGAGAGGAGCCAGTTGAGGTGGCTCGGGCCTCTGGTCAGGATGCCTCCTGGACAGCCCTCTGGTGAGGTTTTCTGGCCATGTCCAGCTGGGAGGAGACCCAAGTGAAGACCCAGGACATGCTGGAGGGACTACTATGTTTCTCGGCTGGCCAGGGAATGCCTTGAGATGCCCCAGAGGAGCTGGCCCAAGTAGCTGGAGAGAGGGAAGCCTGGGCCTCTCAGCTTAGGCTGCTGCCCCTGCGGCCCGACTCGGGATAAGTGGCTGAAAATGGATGGATGGATGGTACACCAGTCAGTAACACAGGGGTCCTAAGGTGAGTTCAGGGAGGACAGAAATGTCCTGTGGAGCAGAATGGTAAAAGCCCTATTGATCTTGATTTTCAACACAAATACAGACCGTGAAAGCAGGGCCTCAAGATCATTCTGACTATTTTCAGCAGCTGTCAATAATTAAATCCATTGCCTCAACACAATAATCAGCAATCCGTTTTGCTATGCCAATGCAATGCATGGGGTGATATGCTACAAGCTAGCATTCAGCAGGAGCAACCACACTTATTACTGTGAGCCAAATTGTTGAGCCACACCAGGGTCCCGTTCCTTGTAATGAAACCGCTACTCGCGGTGCAAAATTAACACCAACCAAAAATAGCACCATCAGAGCACTGAACAAAAGACAAACAACAAACACAAGCCTAACAATAAAACCTCAACAAAACACCAAAATAGGACAAAACAACTGAAAACCAGCTGTTTTTGGTTGGTGTTAATTTTGCACCTCAAGTAGCTGTTCCATTCCAAGGAATGGGACTGCGGTGCTATTCGATCATATAGTAGCTTAACATTATGCTTGTTATGAATATAGTGTACATGAAGCTGTTGTTATATGTGTCTTGCATTTCCTGTTGCTGGTTTTGCCATCTTTGTAAATCAAAACACAAAAGTAGTAACCAGTAGCACACAGTGTTTTAGACAAGTAACTTTAATTTTGATTATGCACAGAAACAGATCTGTTGACTTGTGTTCAGAGACTTGTAATTGAAAATGTTACGCACACCTTAATTTTATTTAACATGCATGTAAGTTTTTCTTACAAGTACACATTTATCTTTACAAGTTTGTGCATGTTGGTGTGCAGCTTCACATTCTACTGCATTCTTCAGCATCTATTCTTCTGCATCTCTGTTATTTAAGCTAACAAAAAAACTAGGGATTTAGATATTAATAATTTAGATACTCTAACACATCTTTGTGCAGATGAACAAAAAACAAACATCTCAAAGCAAACTGTGTTTAGCTCTAAGCTTCCAGATGCATTTGAAACGGCTAGCAAATTGTGAGGCGACAATCCTCAGAACTGGCCGCCTGAACTTCTCACAGCTGAATCAAAGGAGTAACCGGATGTCTTCTAAGTTTTGCAGGTAGAAGAGATTAGAGTGATTTTTGTTCTCTATGAAAGTTGTAAGAATTCCAATCTGCATCCATGGTAAATGGTAAACGATATTTGTATAGCGCCTTCTTAGGGTTCTACAACCCCTCAAGGCACTTCACAACACAATCAGTCATTCAACCATTCACACACATTTCCATTCTAGTGGGGATGAGGTACAATGTAGCCACAGCTGCCCTGAGGTGCACTAACAAAGGGGAGGCTTGCCAAACACTGGCACCACCGGTCCTTTTGACCACCGTCAGCAGGCAAGGCAGGTTAAGTGTCTTGACCATGGACACAACAGCAGCATTCTCTGGTGTTTATATGTGTGTTAATATAAAGTTTTATCGGATGGTAATTCACTTAACATGCATGTGTGTTTCCTACAGATGTTCAACAGGTGGTGCTGATTAAACAAGAAGCTCCTGAGGAACAGAGTGCTGGCATGCAGCAGTGGGACCCAGAACACCTCTGTGTGAAGGAGGAGCGGGAGGAACTGTGGACCAGTCTGGAGGAAGAGCAGCTCCATTTGAAGAACGAGACTGATGACACCAGGTTTCCATTCACTATAGTATATGTTAAGAGTGAGGACGATGAAGAGAAACCTCTATTCTCACAGCTTCATCAGCAGCAGCAAATTGAAGATAGAGGTATACCAACTAGCAGCTCAGCTGAACAGATGACCATAGAAACTAGTGGAGGAGCACAAACTACCAGGAAGCCAGATCTGAACCTTGATGAACAGGCATCTGATTCTTCTGAGACAGAAGTTAGTGGAGATGATGAAGGGGATGATGGTGATGTGATCCTAGACTCTAAGCTGTCGGACTCTGAGCCTGAAACTGGATACGGAAACAATGACTGGAATGAGAGCAGGTCTTCTGAGTCAGATGTTAAGACTGTCTACAAATCATTTAGCTGCCTTGAGTGTGGTGAACAGTTTCTCAACAAGGTGTCTCTCCGGAAACATGTGAGAGTGACAGGTCATTCAGCATTAAGGTCTTCAGGCAGTTCGACTAATAATAAATGTGTTAAATTGAAGCAACATGTAGACCCATGCATGAAAGTCCAGCAGCAACCAAAATCATTTATTTGTGATGAATGTGGGAAAAGATTTGGAAGAAAATTACATCTAACTGAACATATGACAGTCCACACAGGACAGAAGCCTTTTACCTGTGAGATTTGTGAACATAGATTTAGCAGAAAAACAAGTTTAAACCGACACATGAGTGTCCACACAGAACAAAAACCTTTTGCTTGTGAGCTTTGTGGACAGCGATTTAGTCAAAAGACAAATTTAAATAGTCACATGAGTGTCCACACAGGACAGAAACCTTTTGCTTGTAAGCTATGTGGGCAAAGGTTTAGCCAAAACAGAAATTTAAAATGTCACATGAGTGTCCACACAGGACAGAAGCCTTTTGCCTGTGAGATCTGTGAACACATATTTAGTCGAAAAGCAAGTTTAAACAGACACCTGAGCATCCACACAGGGCAGAAACCTTTTGCCTGTGAGTTTTGTGGACAAAGATTTAACCAAAAGGCAATTTTAAACAGTCACATAAGTGTCCACACAGGACACAAACCTTTTTCATGTGAGGTTTGTGGACAAAGATTTAACCGAAAGGCAATTTTAAACTGTCACATGAGTGTCCACACAGGACAGAAACCTTTTGCATGTGAGCTCTGTGGAAAAAGATTTAGCCTAAGCAGAAATTTTAAATGTCACATGAGTGCTCACGCAGGACAGAAGCCTTTTGCCTGTGAAATCTGTGGACACAGATTTAGCCGAAAGGGAAATTTAAATAGACACTTGAGTGTCCACACAGAACAAAAAAAACCTGTTTAACTACAAGAGTACCAAAGAATATCCTTGTATTTTTTACATCCTGGTTATCAGCCTTGTACCCCATGTGGCTGTCCTTTATCCTTGATCAGGGCTGCAAGTTACGTCTTTTTTGTCTGCGAGCCACATACTGTGGGCCCCTAAGCTGTAAATATTTCACTATATTCCAGTCTCCATTGAGATGCAGTGCATTATTGTATACGTCACTCATCATTACACAATGATTAGCCTCCATCCTTGAGTTTCACTTTTGGAGTGTTGCAGCAGTATCTCAGAATATTAGAATATAAATTAAGGACCAATGCAAAAAATAGGGCAAGACACCAAAAATCATTGCTAGGGAGGCTGGCTGTTCACAGAGCTCTGTGTCCAAGCACAATAATATAGAGGCCAAGGGAAGGACAAGATGTGGTAGAAAAAGTGTACAGGCAATAGGGATAACCTCACCCTGGAGAGGATTGTGAAACAAAACCCATTCAAAAATGTGGGGAGATTCACAAAGAGTGGACTGCAACTGGAGTCAGTGCTTCAAGAACCACTACGTACAGATGCATGCAAGACATATGTTCGAGCTGTCGCATTCCTTGTGTCAAGCCACTCTTGAACCAGAGACAGCGCCAGAAGTGTCTCGCCTGGGCTAAAGTCAAAAAGGACCGGGCCGCTGCTGAGTGGTCCAAAGTTATGTTCTCTGATGTAAGTTAATTTAGCATTTCTTTTGGAAATCAAGGTCCCAGAGTCAGGGGGAAGAGAGAAGAGGCACAGAATCCACGCTCCTTGCAGTCCAGTGTAAAATTTCCACAGTCAATGATGGTTTGGTGTGCCATGTCATCTGCTGGTGTTGGTCCATTGTGTTTTCTGAGGTCCAAGGTCAACACAGTCATCTACCAGGAAGTCTTCCTGCTTCCTGCTGCTGACCAACTTTATGGAGATGCAGATTTCATTTTCCAACAGGACTTAGCACCTACACAGATTGCCAAAGCTATCAGTACCTGGTTTAAGGACCATGGTATCCCTGTTCTTGATTGGCCAGCAAACTCACCTGACCACAACCCCATAGAAAATCTATGGGGTATTGTGAAGAGGAAGATGTCATACACCAGATTCAACAATTCAGAAGAGCTGAATCCCACTGTCAGATCAACACAGGCTCTCAAAACACCCGAACAGTGCCACAGACTGATGGACTCCATGCCACACCACATTGCTGCAGTAATCCAGGTCAAAGGTGCTCCAGCTTAATACTGAGTGCTATACATGCTCGTACTTTTCAAATACATAATTTACAGTTGGGCAACATTTCAAAAATTCCTTTTTGATATTGATATTGTAATCTTCGGAGTTACTGAACTTGCAATTTTTTGTTGTCGGATATAATAGTCAAAATTAAAAAAATTAAAATATATCAGTCTCTGTGCAATGAATTAATCTAATATAGAAATTTCACTTTTTGGAATACCTGAAATAAATCAAGTTACCCATGATGTTCAAAGTTTTTGACCAGCACCTGTCATGTATCACGCTTTAAGCTATTCATTTGAAAGTGGGTTTCATTGATTCTCTCATTAGAAATTTTACCAACTTCACATTGGACAGCACTCTGCACTCAGTTGTAACAGTTTTGAGGGATGGGCAGTTTGCAAAACATTTGAGCCAAAATGGCAGACGTGAGTGTTCCACACAGGACATTTTTGAACCACATAGGACAATGTCCTTAGAGGTTTCAGATTTGTATCTAGTTAAAAGTGTTTTTTTGTGGCTTCTGACCATTACATATTATACACATTTTTGTTAGGGACAATACCCTATTTAAAAAGTTTAAAAGAAGAACCATCAATAAGGTTTTCTGCATTGCAGTGGTTGAAGAGTGAAAGTTAAAGCTGGGGATGATGGTTTTTCTCAGCTGTTTGTTGGACTACTCTAACCCTGGCTTTCCACCAGCCGTGAAATCTGTCGCGTAACGTAATAGAGCTCTGGACGTCACGTGACTCTCAGAGAGTAGAAGCCATGTTGGCAGGCAACAAAGGTAAACAAAATGAAAGGGATCGACTTGGATTTTACTCCGTCAGAGTTTACTTCACACTTTAAAACCGAAGAAATCGTAAATAGACTAAACATCTCCGACCCTTACCATGCCCCGGGATACTTTTTAAAAACGCCAGAAGCTGTCGGAGCAGACCTGGCCAGGGAACGCTTTGGGATTTCCCCGGAGGAGCTGGCCCAAGTGGCTGGGGAGAGGGAAGTCTGGGCCTCTCGACATAGGCTACTGTCCCCGCGACTCGACTCCGGATAAGCGGATGAAAATGGATGGATGGACAAATAACATAGATTTACATGTAATAAGTTTAAATAGAGTTCTGTGCTGAATGTATAAACTGAACGCCAAGAGAAATCACTAGTCTGATTTTTTCCATGAATAAAATAAATATGTCAGGCAGGAGCATCTCAGGATCTGTCTGAGATCTGTCTCTGTGAGACAGATAATAGCAATCCAAAGTGCTTTTAATGTGTGATCTGACAATTGATCAACCATTGCTTAAAAATTAAAAACAGCTTAGCCGGTTAATTGCTGTGATCATAAGAAACATAAACGGCAGCACGCAGAAATCACAAGGCGACGTTTTACGTGATGTTTACCTGTTGCTATGAGTAATAAGACGGAAAAACCCACGCCAAAATAAGTTTAGGAAGCCCACTAAGAGTCGTAATAAAAGCATTTTAAATAAATACCAGATAGATGAGGAAACGTTTAAGTACCTGATAGGAAGTGGTCGCTGCTTAAGCGAAAACCTTTACTCTCGGGATCCCACAGCTTCATTTTAGCCCGGTCACTAGTGCGTTTTATTGCAATGATCCAACGTTTGCGGTGTTCCGGAGCTTGGGGAATCCTGTAGAAGGCTCTTCCCTTATCTTGTCCGTCTTGTCTTGTCAACTCCCGGAGCTCTATAGCGATGTTTTACCCGCAAGCTCATTGCCAACCAGGAGCATATCTGGCATGAAACAGGAGTGAAAAAGTTCCACACAGCTGATCCCATGATGTCACTAAATCACGGTAGAATTGCAACACCACACATGATTTCAGACATCCACACAATATTAAACAAAAAGAAAGACAGCTGCATGCATGAAAACATGTCTGGGTTATTTTCTGTTCTGTTTACATCGGTCACAGAAGTTCACAGGAAATGACGTACTGCACATGACCATTTATTTTTTTAAGTTTTTGGATGTTCTACAATGCTTTGTGTTTGATTTCCTATCTGGCTCAATCTAAACTGGCTTTTGACGTGTTTTGGAAGCATAGCACATCAAAAATAGACTTGGAACGAAATGATAGCGGGCCCTCACTTCTGGGGCGCATTCAAAACATCACTGTCTACTGCCGATGGAAAGAAAATAATCCACTATAATGGTGGCCAATTGCAGCAAATTATGTTTCACGGCCGTTTCGCAATGCTTTGACGTGCAGTGGAAAGAAGTGGCAATAAACAACGTCTTAATGTAATAGGCTTGTCAGCCACTATTAGCTGTGCAATTACACTGGAACATTTTCACTAACAAGTTTATATATAGAGAGCTTTGAACAGGAATATCAAACCATTTAACTGGGACAAACCAAATTGTAAAATTAGATCAAGAATTGATTATTAGTTGGTATCAAACTCAATTTCCCAGCATGTGACAGAGACAACAATCTGAAATTGTCCTTTAAGAAATTGTTCTACTTCGAGGTGGAAAACAAAGATAAAGCTAATACATTCAAAGGTTACAGAAAATTTCATTCACAGGTGCTAAAAAATGAGAAACTCAGCAACACTATTCAAACACATATTGTGGAGGTTAAAAATTATAACACCATTAGTGCATCAATATTTAAATGGGAGTTTGTAAAATTTAGCATTAGAAAATGTTCAATTGCCTTAGTTAAAGAAAAAACTAAACAAGCAAAGAAGATGAAGCAAACGTGGTAAAATAACTTATGGATCTTTATAGCAAGCTGATTTGGACTGAAGACGAAAAAGCAAAGATCAATACCCACCAATCTTAAATGAATGTGATTTATTTGAGTAAAGCCAAAGCTACTTAGGTGAGATCCAGAGCCATGTGGATAGACGAGAGAAGGAAAAACTGCTTATTTTTGTAACTTACATTTGTAAAACTAATCTGTAGACAATATGCAACACTGTCCTCCAGTTATGGAAATCTCTCCGTGAATCATTGTCATCCAATTTTAGTAACATGACATTTTGGTCTCTTCTAATTATTTCTTCCAAAAACAACAAAAACATTTTTAACTCTTCAATGATCTCTGTTTAAATAGGCTTTAGTCGCATGTTCTTGAACCCCTTTTATTTTTTCTACTGAGCTACTGGTTTTTCACTCCAGCTGCACGGTCTCTGAGGTCGGCTGCAAGGCTGCACCTGGAAGTCCGTAGAACAAGACGTAAGCTCAGAGGTGACGGGGCTTTTTCAGCAGCAGCACCTAGGCTTTGGTGCTGCCTCTGCACATTAGGTTTGCATCTTCTCTGTCTTGTTTTAAATCTCTTGAAAATCCCATTTTTATGCTTTGGACTTTAACTCAGTTTGAGAGTATTTTAGTTCTAGTTTTTTAATGCATTTTATGTTGTGTGTATTTGATTTTAATGTATTTTATTTATGTGAAGCACTTTGGTCAGTTTTAACGATGTTGTAAGGTGCTTTACAAATAAAGTTGGCTCGACTTTTGCCCTCCTGTCCCAATTCCTCTTATCTTCAAAAATCCTGGTATAGCAAGAAGCTCACTAATTCTTAGAGATTATAATAAATTTGAAATATCAATTTTTTGAACAAGTTGCTTAAAATGTCCAATTCCTCAAAATGCAAAGAGGTTCATTTTAAATCTATACATAAAATTTCCTTCTAACAAATTTATTAAGAGAAGATTTGAATTTATGGTTGAAAATATTTACCTACATCTGTGAAACAAGTATGGAGACAACAACACCTGTTCTACAAATGTGACTACTACTACTGTCTTACAGTTATGGAAGTCTCTCTTTGAGTCATTGTTCTCCATTAGTAATGTTGTCTTTTGCCCCCCAATAATCAATTTGGTGTGATTGTAAGAAATAAAAAATACAGATATTTAAATATACAGTTATTTAGCCTACATAACGTACATATTCCAAATCTCACCCCTCATGAATGGCACTTTAAAATGATTTCTCCTTGTTAAAAAAACCTTAAATACTATTGGATAATCTTTTTTGCAATGTAATGTCCAAAAGGGTCAATTTTCACCTATTTATTGAACAACATAACCTTTCATCTATAGAAATAAATTCACTTTCTATGTGGCCTTCTAAATCCAGAAGGTTCTGCTCAGCTCGTGTTGACATTCCATGAAGACAAAACATTCAAATTGATACTCTGGCCCAAGGTCCTACACTCTGCTTAGAAGCCAGACAACATTCTTCACACTGAATAAGTGAAAACTCCATGATTTTACAGTTGTAAGTTAAATAATCATATGTGATGAATAAACAAGATGTTTAAATCAAATGTTTGAATAACCTGTGCTCAAATCAATTAATTTAAAATGAATATTGTTCTTACAATGATCCATTTATATCACAAATCAGTATGTGTTTGATTTAACAAGTTATTGTTTACACTCATACACATTACAATAAGATGCATATTAAGGTTAAAATGCACCTCAGAGTTTTAAGACATTCTCATTCACAGTGTTCAAAACATTTTTGTATCTGCAAGAAGGCATGGCTTTCTGAGGAATGTTTTGGTAAAGCATTCCAGACATGGCACTTTCTGATTTGCCAGAATACGCCAGAAATAATAACAAAGTAGTTTAATAAAGCAAGATTTACTTCCCGATTAATTCAGTTTCCAGCTGAGCCCCGATTCAGCCAAATCAGGAACGAAAACTCTTTTGAAACAGTCTCCTTTGACCTTAAATCAAAAAAATTTCTGCGACGCTGCACGTGATTACACAACAGCTCTTTTCAGAGCTACTTCAACTCTCAGACATCCACCTTGGACACCTAATCTGCAGACCCCGGTTTGCATCTCATGGCTGGGGAAGCTGAACTCAGAGGAATCTACTAATCTCTGAGTATTGTGGTTTCGACGTCCGGTGACCTCACCACTCTGACCGCAACCCTCCGGACCGCAGGGAGCAACTCATACAAGGGTAATGTAAGACTGCGTACTGGTGTCTGATGAGGTTTTTTTTTATTATCAATAACTAACTCTAGTTTATAACAAACTAATTCTTTTACACCCATTTCACAATTTCATTCAGATACAATAACGGTTGCTACAACAACTAGCTTTCATCACAACACCTCACATCCACCACATCACATCTCCTTATTCATGTCTTGTCATATATCATTGATTTAGGAAAAATAATTAAATTCATTTTATAAACAAGACTCTGTCTGAATTAATACGAAGTGTGTTTATGATCCCTGAATAAGCAAAGAACCCTAGAATCTTCTGATTAAGCATTCAAAGATCAATCAGATTGATCTTTCATATTTGTATGGAATATCACATCATTAATATGTATTAATTGCTACAGCAATTAGGCTTTATATGTACTTAGAACAGCTTAATTATTCCTAAACCCCTTTTATTTTTGTTTTTAAAAAATCCTTTAGGTTTTATGGTTTTATTTATTTATTTTTGTTTGTATTTTTACTCTTTCTCGTTCTCGTTTCGTCCCCGGTTTATTCTTCTCTTTATTTATTTTTTCAAATTGATTAATTTGACACACTAAGGTTTTGCTATTTTTAAATGTGATATCTTCTTAGAAGTGTGAATTAACATTGTAGTTTTGTACTTTTGTATCGTTAGTGTTCCTTTTTTTAAAATCTCAAAAATCCATAAGTTTCCGTTTCCGTTGGTCAGCTGAAAATTCATCTCGTCATGTTAGCGGTTACCATGACAACACAAACATTTGCTACGAAGTTTCAACGAACCCCGATATTTCTGCCTAAACCGGTAGTAGTTTTGTTCTTCATTTGAGTAGGAGCAAACAAAAACATGATGCATAAGCCAAGTGACTCCTTACTAAAACACGATTATCCAGTTTTGGTCAAAACAAACGAGAATTCACCGAAGGTACGTTCGCTAATGGTCAGCAGGCCATGTCTTCTGCTTTGCTGTATTTGTTTGATGTAAACCGGATGAAAGGCGAATATTCAGCTCATTCTGCCTAACACTCATAAATGTAAGAAGGTCATGTCTAAAGATTTGGTAAAATAAATTCAATTTAGATTAATGTTCTTGCAGTCCAATTCGTAGAGCAGCTGACACACTCCAAACTTAGTAACTTGATGTAATTTCTATTGTATGCCTGCTCGTTTATTTTATCTTGCTATTTATAAATATGTATTTGGTTTACTTAAAACCCCTAAAATATAATTTATTTGTCAATGACTTATCTTTTTTTACAGTACTAATTGTTTTTTGTTGGTGCAAAATAATATAACATAAAAAAGTAAAATACACAATTAAACATGATTTTAGGAAGGTGGAAATAAGAAAATCAATTATCTGAAATCAAATCCATAATTGGATAGCAGCATCATTTAAACACGTGCTTGTTGGTGTGTAATCTGTCGCCTGACATTTTAAATCAATCATTCGAACTTTATTTATTAACCTCTTTATAAAAAAGAGGTAACAAAAGGTGTTTCACAACAAATATAACAACTGTGGGCCAATTATTCAGACTACCAATGTCCACAAAATTAATCTGACGAAATGTAAATGTGTGTTAAAATAGCAAAATTCAAACATTTTAAAAGTTAAGAAAATTATTTAAACCATGTTTTGACATGTTATTTTAGTTAATATAAACTTGTTAGAAACAGATGAGTTGAGCAAGGGTAATAATTCTGAAGTTCATGTAACATTCAAGTGGTTAAATATCAAATATTTCTGTTACAGGGGTGCTTTTTAAGCGTGAGCTCTCCGCAGTCTGCTGACACTGTTCCAGTTCCATGTCCTCCTAGACCAGAATTTGCATTCAACAAATCTGTCATACAGTGGCAGGAAAATAAAGAGATCCTGAACATGATCTTTCCTCCCAGGTAGGTCTGTCTTCATCTGCTGCACACTGATCATGAAATTCAGATCTCTAAATCTTTAATGTTACAGGCAGTGGGCAGAAGGAAGCGATCTCTGGGTGCAGCAAGTATCCAGAGTACCCGGTTCAAGAGCAGACGTTGTCCAGCTGAAGAAACTCCTGGACACAAAACTGCAACAAAAACAGGCCAGGCAAACGGGCATATGTCCAATCCGCAGAGAGCTATATGCACAGTGTTTTGGTAGGAAAGCAAATCTGTCGTGCAAAGCATGTTTTGAAATCTGTGCTGCTGGAGTTGTTCACACATGAATTTAATTGTACGTACCTTGATGTTTTTAAAGATGAAATCATCAGACAGGTAACCATCAACTGTGCGGAGAGGGGTCTGCTGCTGTTGAGGGTCAGAGATGAGATTAATATGACTATTGCTGCCTACCACACTCTGTATGAGAGTAGTGTGGCTGTTGGCTTCAGGAAGGCCTTGCAGTCTGAGCAGAGAAAGTATCAGCTCAAACAAAAGGTAAGGACCAAGCTTTTATTCATTTATTTACTGCAATTCATATATAACAGGATTTGGTTAGTCTGCAGTGGAAACTGTTGTGTTGCACTTTAGAGTTACGTCCAGCAGAGGGCAGTGTGTCCTTACTGAGAAACTGCTGTAAATCAAATTTGTGCCTCACAACTGACTTTTTTAAAATCACATTTGTAGATTTCAGATCTGGAAAATGAAAATGAAGATCTGAAGATACAGCTGACTGATCAAAAAGAAAAGTTTGGCTTGACCGAGAAGAGTAAAACCAAAAAGAGGCTGGCGTTGTGTGAAGAAATTCAGCTTTTGAAGAAAAAGAACGAAGATCTCAAGGTGAGACTTTAATAAAGGAATTAAGTATTAACGACATATTTTTTTACATTTAAAATCATAATTTTCTTCTCTTTTACAGACCCAACTGGTGGAAATAATAGCAAAACAGACTCAGAAACCTGAAACTTAGCTTAGCTTTTTTGTTTGTTTCCTTTACTGTATGAATGTATAATGGCACAACTTTGAGGAACTATTAAAAGTACTTATACCACTAACTAGTTTTTAGAATCTTAACCTTTTCAAGAAACCTTTTTGGTCTGACTGGCAGATTTGATAACAAAACCAAATAATGCAAACCTGATGTGCAGCTCAAAGTTTAGTCATGTGAAAATCTAATTTTCATGGAAACAAGCATTTTGTCTGAATATATAACATAAATGAAGGCTGATGAACAAATCTACTGCCATCTAAAGGAAAATGACATATCTAAAATGAAACACAAATTTAGAACCATAAACCGCTGTTAATAAATTCTTTTCTGCTTTTGATTAGAAACATTTTAATATATTTTTAACAGTATTTCGCTTAAATGTGAGAACTGGTAAAGAAGAAACCAAAACATATCAACTGTTTGCAGGGGCTTTAACATTTTTGAAATACTGCTCATATGTGCCTTTTAAATACAGTTTTTGCTTAAAACATTTTCTTGAAACTATGCCTCGTATTCACAAAACAGTAAACACAAATCAATAACATCTCACTCAATTTCCCAAACATTGTCTTTTCAGGTCAAAATGAGGCTCTACACTCAAAACCATTCACTCTTGCTGAAAAACCAAACTTTACACACACACACACACACACACACACACACACACACACACACACACACACACACACACACACACACACACATTGTCTTACACATTGGTGCTATAAATTCAAAACAATATTTGTAAAATTGGCACATTATGTTGCTTGATGAACACAAAAGAGGCACCTGATGGCACGTTTTTATTCATGTACAACACACACCAAAACATTATTTCACATCAGCATCCTGTCTTTGGTCAGTGTCAGGCCTGAGAGTCTCATCCACATCACGGGCTATATCAGCCCTAGCCAGACAGCGGGGGTAAAATCCTCTTGCTTGCCTGATCCACCCCTGGCATGCATCTACTGAGATGTCAAGGCAAGCTTCTTCCATGACCTGGAGGAGGTGAACACGGACATGAGGTTCTCTGTCGTACATTTTCCACTGCCATGCTGAAAAAAAAGTCCTATCGGGTGTAGAAAGGGAGAGAATGCAGGCAGATAGGTGTTAGTAATCCTTGGGTCATTGGTAAACCAGTCTTGAACCAGGATGAAGCGACTCACATTTGGCTGGACCTGTTGCCCCGCCTCCCTCATAGTCTTACCATAGACAAGGACTTGGTCATCTAAAGTGGCTTGAATTTCATCCAAGACCACTTGTCTCCTTGCCCTGACTCTTCCCCTTCTGTGTCGCTGTCATGCTCGACCTCCTCCCCTTCCACGCTGGTGTCCTAGACCTCCTCCTTCTCCACCTCCTCCACCCTGGTGTCTTAGACCTCCATCTCCTCCTTCACTCTGGTGTCTTAGACCTCCTTCTCCACCTCCTCCACCCTGGTGTCTTAGACCTCCTTCTCCACCTCCTCCACCCTGGTGTCTTAGACCTCCTTCTCCACCTCCTCCACCCTGGGGTCTTAGACCTCCTTCTCCTCCTACGCCTCCTCCACCCTGGTGTCTTAGACCTCCTGCTTCTCCTCTTCCCCCTCCTCCTCCCTGGTGTCTTCCTCTTCCCCCTCCTCCACCCTGGTGTCTTCCTCTTCCCCCTTCCCCCTCCTCCACCCTGGTGTCTTCCTCTTCCCCCTTCCCCTCCTCCACCCTGGTGTCTTCCTCTTCCGTCTCCTCCACCCTGATGTCTTGGTTTACGCTTGACGCATTTATTTTCCGCCATGTTTTTCCGCGTCCGACCGTCCGCGTGGTTAGAAAAATTCCTAGGTGCGTGGTGCGGAACGTTTGGGCCGTGCGGAGGTGCGGTGAAAAGGCATGTTGTTAAAATGACGCAATTTTGCCGCGCGGAGCTGTGCGAACCTAGCGGACGCATCAAGCATAAACCAAGCTTTAGACTTCCTTCTCCTCCTCTCTGATGTCGTAGACCTCCTCCACCTCCTTCGTTTGCAGCTCTTTGGAATGAGCTGGCTTTGGTCCTTTTATCTACCCTTTAGAGTTTCTGATTGGTGTGTGTTAAATTGTGATGCCTTGTGTTTCCAGGTGGATAATTGTGTGCTAATGGAGCTCAAGCTGTGCTGACTCAAGTTAACATTATTGACTGCATGTGCCTTCTAAATGACCACATGGTGTCAGCACTGAAAAATGTAGGAATTTGTGTGTAGAGTTTTGCGGTAACATTTTACTAAATTTGACTTGTGTTAAAACGGAGTAGTGTGTGTGGTTCAGGGAAATGGGTGTGCCTTTTGAAAAATGGCAATATGGTTTTGGAATTTGAGTTCAAACGGTTGGTTTTAGTGTTCAAGCAATCGAGAAAAACTATAAAAGTGCCTTATGTATAAATGAAGTAAAACGGACACCGTGTGGTCAAATGTGGTACTGCAGTCTATTTTCTAAAAGTACAGTTCAGTTTCATAGCTGTTGCCATCTACGGATCAGCAACAGAAGATTCTAGATGACGAGCGAATACATGTTGCACACAGTAAGTTGGTAAGTAGATAAATACGTTGCACTGTAATATCGAGTTGTTGGTGATTGAAATAACAGCTTGAGATTTCTTAGAGACAAATATTTGTTTCTAATTCACCCTTTGCATCGTTAGCCTCTATCCTTCTTTACCTGAAATTAGAATAAAACAAAACAATGCAATGGCTTCTGAGAGCCAAAATATACGGTGGTCCCTATCTATAAAGTGGTTCATCTTTTGCAGCCTCACAGTTCTGTGGATTGTTTTAATGTCATTTTGCATGCTTTCTTTTTACAGCAAATTGTGTTCTACATCCAAAGGTATGAACGTTTGAACTTTGAGAGTGTGGGAAAAGTGTGAAAATGTTAATTCCTGTCAGACACATGTGTATAAGAGTTTAGTGAGGGGTTTTAACAGCCCTAAAACATTGTGGCAGAGCACTAGGACAAGCAGCTGTGTCAGTGGGAGCGTGCTGTGCCACGGCTGCTACAAAAGAGTGCACAGACCAAATAAAGTCCTGGCTCTGTGGGGTACAACCAAAGCAAACATGGCGTCTACATGGTTAATTTTGAGATCACAATAGAAAAAAAGACAGGAGTAGTAGCCTATCGTAGATAGTATTAAGGACCTCAATACCAGAGATGGAGAGACCATGGTGAGTGTGTCTCGCTCGTTTTGTCAACTCCATCTATTGGTTACTTGTAGATTGCAGCGTGCAAATGTATTAATCTCATGGGACGAGTGACACTTCAAATCAACACGTTACATGAGGCAGTCATTTTAAACATGTGCATGCATCATTAAAAAGCAAGTATCCCTGCATTTAGGGGCACAAAAAATACTATGTGGGCCATTTATTTTACTTGTGCACAACTCTGGAGCTTTTTGATGGCCAGGGTTGAATTACAAGTGCCAACACAGCTGCGCTAGCTGGCACAGATTTGGCAACCCTGCAGACTGTGCACAGATTGTAAACAAAGAGTACGTACCTTTTTAGCTCTTTTAAAAGGAAAAAACCTGGCCTTCACCAGCCATCTGAGAAGAATGTTTATTTCAATATAACCTTCCTTCTAACATGATTCAGGCGGTTGTTTTATTTTATTGTGAAACTCTTAAATATTGTACATTTAAACATCAGTGTGCACATACTATAATAGTAATAGTATAATAATTCTAATTTGTGTTATCTATCTTTTTAATTCTGACCAGCTAAAATAAGCCGTTTTTAGTTTCTGGTCACTTTGCTGAAAGTTGAAGCTTCATCACACAAATGTGCAAACAAACATTCATTTTGTTTGTAATTTTCCATCATACTTTAATAATACCCAAAACACAGCAGATTTTGTGTGACGTTTATGAAAAATCGTAACTATACTCATATGTCTATTTTTACATTTCTAAAAAAATAGCAAGTTTTTGGATTCTACAGAAGAGGGCAGAGTTGTTTTAGTAATCTACCACAGAGCTGGACTCTCCCTGTATTATACAGCCGTTAAAATATTTCACCTGTCACATCTTTTTTGGGGGGGTTGGTATTTTGAACTATTGGGTAACACTTTACAAAAAGGGCTCCTCTATTAACATTACTTAGTGCATTATTAAGCATTACTAAACTACTAAATAACAAATTAACAACTGCTTAACTTAATGCTTAGCATATCCTCTGTCCCATCCCTAAGAATAGTTAATAGTAAACAATACTGGTAACATTAATAAAGGGGCCTTTATTGTAAAGCATTACCAACTCTTGTTTATAAAATCAAGAAAGACAACACGAGACTTTCATTTTCCTAAAACTCACAATATATTTTTTATTTCTGGACACACACACACACACACACACACACACACACACACACACACACACACACACACACACACACACACACACACACACAAACCACCACACTTGCTTGTGCTTTATTTTGTTCTATCTTTGATTTATGTCTTTTTATAACTTAAAAATAATTTACACTGAAAAATAATTTGATTTACAGGGGCACTTGAGCGAGGTTTAGATGAGGTCCTCCTGCCATTCAGGGCTTTGAGTCCCAGAGGAAAGAGTCATTCCTCAAAACTTTTGCCAGTTTCTCATTGAACGGCATGTAAAAGTCCTTCAGGATCTCTTTTGTTATAGTTAGCATGGGGCCCAAGCTTTTGTCTGCTGGTCTTCTGGTGTTTGACGCTGGACTTTTTGTGATTTCTGATTCAATTTGTTTTGTAATTGGTCCTGTAAAAGAATACAAATGCCCAAATGACATGCCTGCTTGCAAGAAGGACTTAAGAATTTTACTTTTGTATCTTACTTACCCAGGCTAAGAAAATCAAAGACTTTGTGCATCGTGTATTTCCTGTTATTGGCATGGTCTTCCAACCTCAGAACCAGAATCTGCTCCTTGCTGAAAACTGTTAGCCAATCCATCAAATATACAATGTACAGACCAACCTGCAATCTCACCTGTTGGGCACAAAACAAGAAGAAGCAGCATGAGTTCTGTCCAAGAAACCTTTTGTAGAGGAACTAGGTTAATCTTCCCTATTAGGAAAGTCTGGCTAACTGCAAGTAAAATCAAACAAAATTAAATAGTTGTTCAAGGCTTTTGCACAGAAACATCATTGGGTTTTTGACAAACTGGTCAAAAAATTGTTGCTGAATACGCAAATTTTACATGATCAGCTTTGAGTTTAATTTTATTTAATCAATATATTAAATTAGTGTATCTGAAGTCAAAACTGTGTTCATGAAACTGAGTAACTCTGGACTAGTGAAAATAACCTATGCTCCTTTGCTTTTTTCAACAACCCTGAAATACTTTTATAAAGGGTGATTGATGACACTCCAAACCAACAAGTCTCACCACCCAACCCACTTCCTCCCTCATTTTGCAAAAGTGTTTTTTGGAAATAACATTTTATGCCAATTGTGGTCCTATGTTGGATTTCTTCCCCTTCAAAGACGTTAATCAGAGCTCTAATTTTTCCGTAAAACACAAAGGAATATGATACCAATGTGAGCACAGCTGTGGTGCTTTTCAACATGAATTAATAACTAATATTAACCGATGGACATTTAGGCCAGCTGCAGAGAGTAAGCACTGACCCGCCATGAAGCTTGTCAGAGGCAGTTTAAGATCAGGACCTGTAAATAAATAGGCCGCAAGGTGAACAGAGAAAATGTATTTACAAATTGAATCGCGTTAGTCAGCAGGACTGTCATGCACAGATTTATGCCGGTGCCAAAATTGCGCAAATGTGTCTTTAGCCAGTGAAGAAAAAGCTGCATCTGACTACAGCTCTGACAGTGACAGTGATGAGTGATACACCGTGTTACTGTCAATATGTGAAAATGTTTTGTGTGAATTTGTAAATATTATTTCTGTAAAATTTTGGGAAATCAGCAGAGAACACAGGGGGATGCAGCAAATAATTTATTTAAAAAAACTTGAGGTGTGCAGATATGTTTTCTGTGCATCTGTGAACCATGTTCAAGGGTTTATTGTAATATTTCTGTCTTATAATGTTCTGCTTTTATTTTGACATTTGTTTTGATGTTAGATGGACTGAGACATGTGTAAACATTACTCATAAAGGAGGACGTGATAGTTTTCAAAGTGATCTCAGAAAATGTAATAAACTGAACTGATGTATCTGGATATGATTGTTTTATTAACGTGCATTCATTACACCCAAGGGAGTAATCACATCATTTCATCCAAATATACAGTAGTTACTTTGAAAAAGCAAATGCTGTTTCAGTAAAAAAAATATAGACAAATTATGGCAAGATAGAGCTGGAACCCACGCAAAATGAAAATTTTTATAGTTGATAGAATATGAATAATCTTACAATATACATATTTTCAACAGCTGCTCTATATTTTTGGTAAAATTTTGTACAAATTTAGAGCAAACGTCATGCAATATCATGTTTGTACACTAATGTTAGGCCAGAGCAGTGAAAGGGCTGTGAAGGCCTCTAGTTATTATTCTGATTATACAAAATAAAAACGTGAAACATTTTAGTTAGAACGTCATCAAATGATAAATGGTCAGTGAGAACAATAAAAATATATGACGTTATTTCGCTCCAAGTTACTTTTTGTGTGTTTCAGCTCCACGTTTCCATAAAAAACATTCTTTTCCACAAATTAAGACGTTTTAAGGTATTCTACTTATCGCTTTTTGGGTCGGTCACCGAGTACACGTCTTGTTGGATCTCTGTTTACTATATACGTGCGCCGCATTGGTTCAAAACGGTCACGTGACAGCCGCTTCACTGCTTTCTCATTCCGCTCAAAACAAACTAGTCCCGAATTAAAACAACGATCGCAACAAACAGGGCAACATTTCCCAGGAGAACTTTTACTTTTGAAACCTGTATGAACTGTAACAGGACTGGCCCGACTCCTTCCCTTCATCGCCCAGCCTGTCTTAGGGTAGTGTGGGAAAAGCTGGCGGGAAGCCTAGTGCCAGAGCCCTGAACCACCCGACACTAAAACTTGATCTGTGGGCCAAAAGAAAGTTTGTTGCATTGCTAAATGAGGTTTTGTTGCACACAGCTAAATAAAAGGCTTCAAACTCTGAATTGCAGGTTTCCATTCCTTTTCATTAAACTCTGAGTTGCAAGCTTTAGCGTGTGCTAATGAATTGTGGCTTTCACTTCTTTAGCCTTGCCCTGAGACCCTTGTCCCCTCCCACCCGCTAAACTGGTGGCTAAAAGCAGCTTTGAAGCACACAAAAGCAGGAGGCAGGAACCACTCACTGGCATAGCATTGTTGATAGTAGTGTTGTACACACAGGAGCGCATTGTATACTCTGTAAGGCACCCTTCAAATAGCTGCAGTGACTCTGACACCTTCTCATGGAAGTCCTCAGCTGATTTGTTGGCAATGCCAAAGTAAAGGTAGTCAGAGTAAAGCCTGCAAAACAAGAGGAGCACTGTCAACAAATGTGACATTCATGCACAGCTTTAATTTGATGTATTTTTTATACATCTGAGCTAAAGCTAAGCTAACGTTTGTTGATGCAAAACTGTTGAAGCAAACAAAGTGGTAACAGAGAGCACATTAAAGACCATGTCTACTGAGAAACCATTTTCTAATTGTTTTGGACATATGATCGGCCTCTCTGAGTTTAATATGGAGGCTAAATGCAAAAATAGTCTTCTACCCTTATATTCCTGCATTAGTCGCCAAGAATAAATAGCCGAGGAAGCGTTCGAATTAGAAAAGCAAGTCAATTGCACGTCATGCTGAAAATTAGCATTCGTGGACTCACCCATCTTGGCTCACAACAGGGAAGGCTGTTGTTGGATTAGCACCCAGGAAACTAGTCTCGACTAGTAGAAGCTAACCGTTAGCATTAGCAACTCCACCACACAGCAGAACTCCTTCAGGCATGTGTTATTTGTGGAGAAAAAACATCAATTTTGGAAAGTAAACAGAGTCAGTGGTTGAGTTGCAGTCATGTTAGCCAATCAGAGGAGAGATGCCCAAATGTCAGGGAATAATACTCCAAATCCTGCTGTGTTGTACTACTCTCTCTTCTGGCTTATTTTTACTTCTGAAGCAGAAGCACCAGAGCTTTTTTCCCAAAGAGATTGACTCATATGTCATTAATTTATACTAGAGACCACTGCAAATGTGTTAAAAAATTAGTGAACTTGGTCTTTAAGTAAACCCTGCAAAAAGTCTACGTTGCATGGACGTGCGGATCATGTCTGTATTGAGTCCGTTGGTCCAGACCACCTCTGTAGGACATCCAAGCTAGGTCTTTACACAGTAGGAATAAAAAATACAGATATGCAAAACTGCAAGGAAAAAGGAAAAATAGTGAAATATTTATATTTATTTCCAAGCTGAAATGAGATGTTAAAAAGTCAGTAAGAGAGACCCATAGTTCTTCTGCACAGTCTCTGCCACAGGTTGTGAACAAGTCTCACCTAATGAAAATGGCATGATTAATCTAATCGACCATGCAATTCATTTCCCCTCCCTACAATTGTTTTTGGGAAAGGTTGCACGGCCAGCAGTCAACAAAAATAATTACAGGGAGCCCGCTCGGATGTTCTTTGAGATGAAAACAGAGAAGAAAAGCAGGTGTCCTCAGCTGTGATCTCCACCATGTCTAATAAAAACATCACAATGAAACTTGTGTGACAGCTAACATCAGTAAACCAACCCATCCATTCATGACAACACAGTTTTTGTTTCCCATGAACCCAGTTAAGTATCTGTCTGTATCACCAGTGTCAACAGTAATGATGGGGGCTTTTTCTCCTATCATTGACGTGCATTTTAGAGCTAGTACGCAACTGAGGGCAGTGAGGTGGAAATTTCACCCACCTTTCCACTGGGTCCCTGAGCATGACAATAAAGCGGGCATCGGGCTGCAGGGCATGGATGAAGTCCTGGATGAGGAACGGAGGCTCTCCCTCTGTGGTGTTGTCATAGAAATACACCCAGGCGTTGTTGTCCCACATGGTGGAGGCGCTGGCTTCTCCTGTGAAATCCACCCACAGTGGTTTAAAATAAAAACACACACAGACACAACACAATCAGAAAACTTCACCCACAAAGAGACAAAACAAGACACAAGTGGGGACACATTTTTTGCGACTTTAGTTACATGGTGGGTAGGTATGTCCGTGACTCATGGGTATGTTATTTATTTATTTTTGTAGATTTCCACCAAAGAAAATTCCACAGCTGCTGTGGTTTCCTCCTCCCTAGAAGCGCCTGCACTGCATCTGACTGTGTTTGTTGTAAAAACTCAACTCAAAGTTGTTTTCAGGCTCAGTTTGTTTCCATGTGGCTTAATTTCTGTTCTGCAAGGGCTGAGCTTCTGTGAGGAGATCCGAGACTTGCATAAAGTCAGATGTTTTTTTAAGCTTACTAATAATGTGTTTTCTAACATTATAACACAGGATCCTCCTTTGCTTTTTGTCCTACTAAAGGGGATATTTTACATTGTGAAGCTGTTGTTAATTGATTTAAAAATATTCTTTTTCCACTGCAAGTTGAAAAAAAGGCTCAGGGCTGAAAACCTTAAACAGTTAGCTGACAACTTGACCCGTAAATTAAAGGCAGGTTGTCTAAGCTTGCTGCAAATTTCATTATCTTGCTTATCACATAAACTAAAATATTCTCATAAGGCTTCAGCAGATTAATGACTCTATTTAAAGTATGTTTATGCATAAAGTTCTGTTTTTTTTAACAACCAATATTAACAGTCAGAGCTGGGAAATAATCCACCTCCAGGAGAGTGTTACCCTCCTCCCAGGGAAGGTTGGAGATATGTCAGTCTGGATTGCGTTTAGAGCCTCTTTTGCATAAGCTGTGACCAGAAGGTTGTGAGGGGCAACCAGAAGGCATGTTGGTGGACATCAGCTCTTATGAAAATCAGTTGGCTGAAGGAGGCACCAAATTACTTCAGGTGCTTTTTCACTACGTCAGTAAATCTCCTTTTTGGTGTTCCTCTCAGCCTCCTGCCTGGTGGCTCCAACCTCAGCATCCTTCTACCTATATAATCATTGTCTCCCCCCTGGACATGTCCAGACTATCTCTGGCCTCTCTGACTTTATCTACAAATCATCTAACATGACCTGTCCCCCTCATGGGCTCATTCCTGATCCTATCCATCTTTGTCACTACCAAAGAGAACCTCAACGTCTTGAGCTCTGCAACCTCCAGGTTTGCCTCCTATCCATCCTCAGAGAGAAGAGAGAAGGACTTGTCCTTGGCTAGCTTGGGTCCAGGGAACTGCTGAACCAGACTGGGAATATTGACGCGAAGTAGAAAGAGCACTTAATCTGGTGACTGTGTTCTCCACTGAAGAGGCGAAGCTAAAGGACTACCATGTGAGTCTCTACTGCCTCTAAAACACTCCAAATGTGAAAAAACCTATCAATCCTTTTTCTGCTAGTATCTAGTTTCAGTAATTGTATGTCTAAATCAAGTCGTTTCAGAAAGTGGTCATTTGTGACATCACAAAGGAGAGAGAACACCCTTTAACTTCTACATGCTGGAGGAGCAGCAGCAGCTATATTCTGATAGCCTGGCCTGCCAGACTCGTCCTCTGTTTATTTTTACACAGAGAACTAGCCTGGAAACTCTCAGGCAGAGAGGCACATGAGGGGCGGGACTAGCCAGCTCAAAAGTAACCAATCAGAAAAAAGGTGGAAATACCGACTGTACCGCGCAACGCTGTAGTTTTTTTTGCTGTAGTAAAAATGGCGTCTGGCGATGGCACAAACATCTTTCTTTAGAAGAAAGGCTTTTAGCGCTTCCACTTGTTGTGGTTTTAAAGACGTGTTCAAGTCATTTAGAACAGAGGAAAGAGCCGCAGCAATCTCCGATTCAGACGCCGTCTGAAGTGACAGAGTTCTGAAACAGCTCATTCTGGAAGGTACTGAAAATGTCATGAATAAAACAGCTGAGATCACTTCATGTGAAAGGGATTTTATGCAAAGAACTTCGTAAACACATTTTGTATCGACCACAGAACCCGAAAAAAGTCCTAAAAGGTATCCTCTGAAATTTCTCTAATCTCTAGAAGCTAGAAATGGATGGGATCCTCTCTGAGCTGTGGTCCTATTTTTCAAACAGGGCAACCAGAGTGTGCTCCTTCTATCATGGGTTCACATTTCTCAGCCTTCATGAAAGTGATTACTCAATAGTTTAGGAAAGGAAAATTCAACCAATGAATCCTCAAGTCCAAGTGGAGTTTTGCTTTCCTCGAGATCCCAAAACAGTTACCCAGATCTTCACCTTTTTGGGGTTGCTGAGAAGGTCATGGGGCTTAATGCATCATCATACAAACTCTTAATTTTTATTCTCTTTAAACAAAAACAACAAGTTTGTTTCATCCACCTCATACCTCTAAATTGAGAGTGCAGCCAGTGCAAATTCCTTTGGCTCCTGCAACAGGTACACATAATGACAGACTCCAAAGCAAGTACACAAACAACTAAAAAAAACAACAGTAATTGCATCTTTGATTGTGAAGAAAAACCTGCAGCATCACTGCGGTGCACACAGCGTCACAACTGCTGCTCACAATGAGTCGGAAGACATTATTTCTCAAACGATTTGAGCCCAGAAACGGTGTGAGTCCATGCTGAGAAACGATATTCAGCATTCATTAGGCTGTCCGTGCCTTCATTATTCCCTTATCTGCAAAAGTGAAGCTGTGATGTATTGGGATGAAGCAGAATGCAAGCCTTATCTTTTTCCCTTCCTCAGAGAAAAAGATTGATAGCCCGGATCTGTCTTCTACACTGACAACAGTGAATGTGAAACAGGATCACTGCTAATGTTGCTAAGCCCTAAATGATACACACAGTGATCAAGTCTATTTAAAGGTCCCCATGTCCATTAAAGGGGGCTGATTTGGCTCCATGGAGGTAGGACAAACAAACAAAGGAGCCAGACCGACTTGCCGCTGGTGCTCGGCGGCAGCAGAGATTTGGCCAGCGGCTGAAGAGAATCCGAGAGCGAAGTTCCTGGCCACCGGCCGGCACCTCACTGGGCTCTCCCAGGGCATGGTGTGAATACTGAGTGGGGTTCCAACACACTGCCCCCTTCACTCTAAGGATTACTTATTTAAAAAGGGAAACAAAATAGTGCAGCATGCTAAGCTGTGCTCAATGCACTGACTCAGTCCAGTGTGAAAAGGCTATTGTTTAGAACTGAAATCAGTTTTTCTTTGCAGCTTTCTTTGAGGCCGCGTTTGGGCGATGGGAAAAGACAGAAACAGATAGGAGCGGCGAAGCTGGAAACAGGATACAGAGGAAGGAGGTTTGTAAGACTCTACCCTCCTGTGGATACTACTGCTGGGTCTGACACAAAAAAACAATGATTGCTTTATGCAGCACTTCAGTGAAGTGGCTAAGTGAGGCAGAAGGAAGTCTAGTTTTATTAAGGTGTTAGTCTCTTCAGGGCTGAGTCACCAGCTCTTTTAACAAAATGACCCTCCCTCCCTCACTGAAGTGAAAGTGGCTGCTACAAAACGGCTCTGTGCTTCAGACGGGGATAAAAGAGAAGTTTCAAGCAGCTGTCAAGTCACCTCAACCACAAAATGCTAGCGGCTGCAGCTTGGTCAGGTCACTTTCACACACATATCACTGAGCTGCTACATGACCTGAGTTTTTAACAGGAACCAGGAGAAGGAATAGAAACAAGCTTTTCTGACAACCTGGTGCTCTGTCTAAACAGGAAGGGGTGTGTTGAACAGGAAATGTTTGTGCTACAATTGTAGATCTGATTGTCAGGCAGCATTTTGCTCTCTGCTGACGTGTCATTCTTAAGAAACTTCTCATGTACTGGACTAATAGTATTTCACTGGCACAGACAAAGCTGATATGCAGCATCATGCCACGCTGCAGGATGTCTGTATCTGGGTCATCGCGAGGCAGAGGTTTCAGGCTTGCTTCATAACAGCGGCTGGATCGTTCTGATTTCAAACTGTTTCCATGAACATCAGACAGGAAACTGCTTACTAATGAATCGCAAGTATTAGTTTGTGGTTAAACAATGCTATGACACAGCTAATCGACCGTGCATTTGGGCTATTTCCTATTATAAATAGGTTTGCCGTTGAGTTGTGGGATATTATTAAAACAAAAAGTGATATCAACTATAATTAAATAAAGGTCTGACAGGAAAATGTGTTGCAACGTTAAAAACCAGGACAACAAGATGCCCTGACTTATCTAGAAGCTTCTTTAATCAGTCAACTGTCTCACACAGCCTTCGTCGAACTGACTGATAAAAGCATGAGCGACCTTTTGACCGACAATAATATTGCTCAGACTGCTTGACTTAGAAGAGTCCAATGCCAACAAGCAGCTTCAGAAAATCATTAGCATCTGCAATCTGCTCCTCTTAAGGCAGTTGAAAAAATTAAGCATATATGAGCAATTCGCACAATTTTTGTATATTATTGCAGTTGTTGTGGTGACAAAGTGACTGTAGCGTAAAGCACTTTGGAGTCCTTACTCTGAGAGGCGCTATACAAGTGCGGGTCATTTTATCATTTACAGCTTTCCCAAATGTTGCATCAGCAACTAATCGGTTCAGGATTACTAAATCAACAAAGGGGCCTCTTAACCCTCTCTGGCTCAAAATAAGTTTTGATAAAAGGACGAACAACTAAGTCCTTCAGCGGTACTTCTGAGTAAAAAAAAATGCTCATGAAATACGTATGTGGAGTAACCAGGTAGGTAGGCTTTCACGCCTGCCTCCAGAGGGTTAAAATTAATAAATGAATAAACAAAATCTATCTTTTATCTAATTCAGACAATTTGATGCGTGAGATATCCTAATAGATAATTAGTTTAGGCTTTTAGTTTAACATTCAAATGTGAAGATCTATTTCCTGTGACACATATGAGTGTAACAGAGCAACAATGGGGTGATAACACATTTATGACATCACTGGTCTGGTGCAACAACGTCAGACACTACACTCTCATGACATGCCCAACCTGTTTGTTAGGACAACAGTACACATTACTTTTTATTTTTGTTTTTTACTTTCATCAGTTTCTTTTCCTGACATGCAAATTACACCAGCTCACAGATGACTACGTGTCTCGGGCCATTTGCATGAAACAGCACAGGACTTTGAGAATCAGACACCTTGTGCACTCAGTAATGTCCTAGAACATTTATAGTCATTTAAAGGTGATCTAACAGCACCAGAGAGGGGCTGTTTTGTTGGCAGAACTTTGTGAATTTATCAAATTATATAAAGTAATATATATAATTATTTGTTCATGTATTTTCTTAAATGCTAAATAAAATCTGTGCAATGGACTTAAACTGAAATTTCCACAGCTGAAAAAAAAACGTATACTGTATGTATGTATATATATATATATATATATATATATATATATATATATATATATATATATATATATATATTTTATACATATAGTATATTGTAAAAATTTCAGTTTAAACCCAGAACCCAGTATCCCTCATTGTGGTAGACACCCAGGAAAGAGTCTCAGTTATGAAAAACTGGACAGCACCAGGGCCTGACAGGATCTACGCCTACTGACTTGAGCAGTTCACTGCACTCCATGAGTGCCTGGCAGCACAAATGAACCAGCTGCTAAAGGATGGGACTCACTCTGAATGGCTAACTGAATGACGCACAATCCTGATCATGAAGGACCCCTCCAAGGGCACAGTCCCATCCAACTATCGGCCAATAACCAGTCTTCCCACAACACGTCAGACATCATAGCGACTAAGATAAGTGGACACATGGATCATTATATGAGCGTGGCACAGAAGGGCATCAGCAGAGATGCCAGAGGAGCCAAACACCAGCTGCTGACTGTACAGTCGCCCGGGACTGCAAAGCCCGACACACCAACCTCTGTACGGCCTGGATTGATTACAAGAAAGCCTATGACTCAATGCTGCACTCGTGGATCATTGAATGCTTGGATCTGTACATCAACAGGACTCTGAGAGCCTTCATTGCAAAGTCAGTGGGGTTGTGGAAAACCATCAATGAGGCCAATTGCAAGCCAAATGCACAAGTCTCCACCAAATGTGGCATATACCAAGGAGACGCCCAGTCCCCACAGCTGTTCTGCATAGGTCTGAACCCCCTCAGCCAAATAATCAAGAAGACTGGCTATGGATACGACTCAAATAAGGGATTTTTTATTTGAAAGGGTTGTGACACTTACCTATGATGATACTCGGATGGCTGGGGGATCCGTTGGTGTTTGCAGTCAGGTTGCCTTGGATTTGGTAAGCAGCCTGATCAAATAAATCCAGGTAGTCTCCCACTGGGTATCGGTCGTGGAAGCCCTCACTAAGACGAATGATGCCTGACGGAGAGAAAAGGCAACAAATGTTGTTTGTTATTGACAAATACTATTAAAGCAAGTCAAAGTTTTTAACATTATAAAGTGCAGAAACTGCATAAATTAGCATTGCTTTGTGTGCAGATCTGTACATTTACCACTCCTCTGTGCTTTCTTTCTTTCTTTGCATTGTGTGAATAATGGAAAGTGCTTTACAATCGAATCCATTATAATCATTATTACTATCATTTACTGACATCTCAAATGCCCCGATAGAATCCAAGTTCAACTCAAACATAAAGTAATGATGTTTTTTTTTTAATATGTATGTGAAATTTGCTTTAAAAGAGAGTGTCTCTCATTCAGCGATAGTGCAACAACTAGGGATGGACTTGTGTCCTTCTTTGGTGATAAACTTAAAACTATTCATGCAGCAGAAGAACAGTGCTCAGCATAAATGAGTACACCCCCGTTAAAAAGTACAAATTTCATCAGCAGCTCAATGAACAAAGGAACTATTTCCAGACTTTTCACAAGGCTGGGTTTTATTGAACACTAGTTTAACTCCATAACATGAAATTAAGGTTAATTATATAACTTAGATCACAAAATCTTCAGTTTTACTAAAATTGGTTGAAGCAAAAAGGAATACCCCCCCCCCCCCCCCCCCAACAAAAACTACTACCTCTAGAATTTAGTATGATAGCACCAAGTCATCTAGGCATGGAATGAACAAGATGGAGACATATTGCATCATCTATCTTTTTCAATTCTTCAAGAATAAGCTCTTCTAGAGCGTGGATGCTGGATGGAGAGTGATGCTCAACTTGCTCCTTCAGAATTCCCCACAGGTGTTCGATTGGGTTCAGATCAGGAGACAGACTTGGCCATTCAGTCACCTTCACCCTGTTCTTCTTCAGAAATGAAACAGTAGCTTTAGATGTGTGTTTTGGATCATTGTCGTGTTGGAAACGTGCACGACGACCAAGTGCACGGAGTGATGGCAGCATCTTGCTCCTTCAGTATAGAGCAGTACACTGTAAAAAAACCTTATACTTTATGGTAAAACACCAGCAGCTGGGGTTGCCGCAATGGTACTGTAAAATTGCAGGCAAAATGTTTTTTCTTTTATGGTAAGAAGGTATTTTTATAATTTTTACAGTATAAAATGGTACTGAAATCAGTATTTTACTGTAGAAAAAGTGATTTCATTAGAAAATAAAAACTACGGTTTTACTGTAAAATGAACATGAAAATAATCTAGAAAATACATTTTGTGCTACTAAAAACAAAAATGTTTCCCCACAAAAAACAAAATTCAAAGGGGTTTCCTCATTACATACAATCAGTTCATAGAATTAAATAATCAATTTGCGGTCATTAAGTTCATAGCCAAATATAAAAGCTATTATAATAGCTTTGTCAGATTAATGGCTGTTCATGTCCTTCAACTGCACTTATGTGTACACTTGTAGAAGTCAAGAGCATTGAGTCAGTCATGCTGTCAGTACTGAACAGCAGCGCAGTATTCACTAGTCAGGAACAGACACTTCCCTATGACTAACAGTTCAACCAGATCTCACCTAAATGCCGCTGAGCACACTGGGAAACAGGAAGTGAACTCCTTACACAGGTACCAACAATAAAAAGCTGTATTTTAATTTTCAATAAATAAATGTAAAAATCATAGTATTTTACTGTTATTAACTTTAAGGAAATTTTCTGTTAAAAAACAAGAGCTTTAAAGTCGAATGATGTATTAGACAAAAATGTACTAATTACTGTCTTCACCAATCACTTTATATACGAGAACTTCCTGTAAAATCAACAGTTTTAGATCATTTTATAGTTGACAGGTTTTTCCTGTAGTGGTTTTACGGTTTATCACTGTTAAAAATACGACAACTTTTTACAGCGTACATCGTTGAGTTCATAATACTATGATACCATCACTGACATGCAGCGCCCCAACACCAGCAGCACTCATGCAGTCCCACATAAGGACAATGCCACCACCATGTTTCACTGTAGGTACCGTGCATTTCACCATACAGTTTAGAAACCATTAGGTCCAAAAACAGTGACCTTTGTCTCATCACTCCAGAGTATAGAGGCCCAGTAGTCGTCATCTCTTCCATCATGGGCCCTAGCAAATTCTAGGTGTGCTTTTTTGTGCGTGGGCTTTAGGAGAGGCTTCCTTCGTGGACGATATCCATGCATGCCATTCCTCTGTGTGCACCGTATGGTGTCATGGGAAATGGTCCCTCCAGTTGACAAATGTAGTGGGGTGTACTCATTTATGCTGAGCACTGTATACATCTGTTACTCTGATAGATCCTTTGATGCTGTCCTTTCTCGGAACAGTTAGAAAACGTTGGTAAAGACACCAAAATCAGTCAGTCAGCATGATTATTCATCTCATAGTCATATAAGATGTGATATTTTGTCTTCTTTTCCCTTGTTTTGTTCCATCGCTTTGCTTGTTGATGTAAATTAAGTGTCAAGCAGTTTTAAAATAGGCCATCTTTCTTGACCTCAGTTGCATAAAGCGGACACATTTGCTTAAGATTCATTTGGCTCCTCCTAAACAGTTATGTGGCACAGATCACATCAATTCACCTTTTCCATGCATCAGCTGAGTTGAGCCTCTGGTGGAATTAAATAAATAAATACAAAACAAGGCCATCTGAATTCAGAGTGCCCTCAGAGGAAGTCTTAGGAGAAAGTGTTGATTACCAGCGCACAGCCTGGAGTTCAGGTTTGGAAGTGGATAAAGAGGAAGTGACAGCAAACATGAAAGCAGGCAGAATGAGGGGGGGGGGGCCTAAACTTAGTGGGACCAATAGTTGAGATACAGCTGCATCGCTGCAAGCCGCAGGTAAAAATTAAAGCAAATCTGCAGAAAATTATGAACTAAACTGAGTTTTGCATGCAAAATAACAATGCACAGATGAGTTTCTGAGAGTCTCAGGCGGACAGGAACTGGATGAACTTCAAAATGATTGCTTCGGCTGTGTCTGTTAAGCATCATTTGCATCAGTGGACATGCAAAATAACAGCTAATGCTGCTGCTGGTACCCCACAAAATATATATTAGCACAAAAAAGACTGAAGTTTCTTTTTAAGAAGACAAATTAAGGTGTCAATTATTTCCAGACAGAAGATCTACAGCAAGAATTAGCAGTTTGTCTGAAGTGACAGAGCTGCTGCTGTTCTTAAATGAAAATTACACACTCAAAGTAAGCAAATCAGTCCTGAGCGTTTATCTAATCTTTGTTTGACTTTGCAATCAGAGTCGACATTAAACAGCCATCAGTCGAAAGGCAGTTCAGTGCCCTTCAGCTTACTGCTACTTTTTGCATTCTGAAAAGCGTCTCGGTGAATGCATTTACTCTGACACACACTACAGTCGCCTGCTTCTAGAGCTGCTGAACAATTTCCATTATTCATGAGTCTTAATGAGCATTTCGGTTATAAATGGAAGCAAAACACATATATGGCACATGAAGGATTGCTTTGTTGAGGGCAAATTACAGTAAAATCAAGGCATAGTTGGAATTCTTCCACTCAAGGTGTTGCTATCGAATGGTTATGATTTAAAGTCCACATTGAGTGGAAAACAGACTCAAAAATAATTTGTTCGGCTTGAGGCCAGCTCCAGCTCCTTGAGTTCCTAGTCAAAATTGTGAGGCGATGATTTTCGAAGAACATTTAGGTCGCAGTGAGCTAAAAAGTAAAAAGTGATTCTGAAAGCTTCTTTCTGAATATTTTTAAATATACAAGAGCTCTATCATTAATTTAATGTTTTTGTTTGATTAAAAAATAAAAGACTCAGACTACAATATGTGATGGACAGAAAAATGCAACAAAAGCGAAAACTTAGAGAAGAAGCCACCGTAGAGAACTGTGGGGAAGAAAATATGTGCAGCAACAAAAGTAGTGCAAGCAAAAGTTTAGACTCAGGTTCAATGTGTGCAAAGTTATAAAACTGGATTTTTGTGAAAGTTCATCCAGATTCCTCTGTGAAATGTTTATCCTCAGTGTGATCTTGTGACATGACCGTTTAAACGAAATGAGAAACAGAACAGAGGTGTTGTCGGGACCGGGTATCATCAGGGCCTGAGCTCGTCCAAGAAAATAAATCGTTTATTTAGTTATATATCTTCAAGTTAAGTCTAAAACTCATTAAATGTGTAAAACAAGTTATTTTCATTGTCCTGCGAGGTTGTCTACACTCCCATGGATCTTATATTTCTGAATAATATGTGCAACATCTAGCTGCTTGGAGATGGTCTTGTAGCCTTTACCTTTAACATATGTATATATATATATATATATATATATATATATGTGTGTGTGTGTGTGTGTGTGTGTGTGTGTTTACATTTGTTCTCAAAAGACCTCTTAATTACAGAAATATGGAATATTAGAAGTTGTTGCATTACCAGTTGAGGGTAAATTCTTCAGAAATATCCTGTGGTTTAGTTCCATTATAGAAATATGTTTCACATTTCTAATTATCATGTTAACCCATTAGGGATTTCTGAAACAGGTTGCCTTACTTACCAAACCGCTTGCGTGTCCACCAGTGTGGCTCTTTAAAAGTGGTGAACTTGACGTCTGGGTGTAATCTCAGCCTGTCATACAGGTCGGTGGTGCCACACTTCGGTTGGCCCATGATGTAGAAGTAAGGAAGGCATCGCAAGCGGTAGAGTTTCCTGTTGCGATGCAACAAGTGGTCAGGGAAAGTGTTCCTCAAGTGCTGAAAAACTATCCGGAAACGGCGCGAATATCGTCCATACAAGTTAGTCCGGTATGGGTCCGAGGTGAGGTTCCCAGTGAATTCCTCATACCAGCAGGGGTTCTTAATGCCGGGCAGGAATTTGTGAGGAATGACAGAAAACATCTGGTAAGGCAAAGGAAAAACACAAAGTGTTCAATCATCTTATTTGTTGAAACATTTAAGAGAAAAACGTATGCCCATGAAAACCTATCAGTATGCAGGATGCTGTTTTATTACGTGAAGAGAAACATAATGTCAGAAAAATTAAGCCTATAGAGGAGTGGGTTTGGAGTAAATACAGACAGTTGAAGGGAGATTTACTGCCCTGGATGCAAGTTTGAATGTGAGATGAATGGCAACCTTAACAGACTTATTGCACAGTTATATAGCTCATTTATTAGTATTCAGGAGGAATCTGGTGACACATCAACTTACACTTTTAGTGTTGCTGCCCTGACGGCTCTGTTCTGCAGTTACTTCCTTTCTGATACGTGAGGCTTTTAGCGATCGCTCTGGTTTCTATGAGTGAGTGAGTTTTTAAGGCTTTTTTAAAGAAATAAAAACACGGAGCATGGACAGTCAAACACAACACTTGTCTGTATGAGCGTGACACTCATCGCTGCAAAAAATAATCTGTGAAACAATTAAAGACATCACGTTAGATCAACAGCCTGTGACGGCACCTGGTTCTGCTCACTAGAGCAGCCGCTTCAGATATTAAATAAATGTAAGAATAATATACTGAAAATTCTTCGAATCGAGCTCTTCAAAACACTGACCAGAACCAAATACAATTTTAGCTTACCGTTACACCGTATTAATAACCATCTTCTCGGTGGATTACCGTGGCCGTGGTGTAGGCGCGGTGACCCACCGTCGCGTCTGCTGAAGTTGTGGCCGCCCTGACACTGGGAGATCGGGGTTCAAATCCCGGTCGGGTCATACCAAAGACTTTAACAATGGGACCCAATGCCTCCCTGCTTGACACTCAGCTTTAAGTGGTTGGATTGGGGGGTTAAACCACCAGATAGTTCCCGAGCGCAGCCACTGCAGCAGCTTTCCTCTCCCCACGGGGATAGGTCATCTGTGTAGATGAATTTCATCAGTGTATGATGATGACTAATGGGACTTTAACACCTTTTAATGTTTTGATAGTATGATGTCATTTCCTGTCATGTTTACAAATATTATTGCACATTATACAGATTTGTTTACTTTATTAATACCTAGAGATGCAATTTCAAACTGTCTGTGTTCATTGAGATATTTCCCATTAATTATTGTTACTAAAACAATTATATAGATTTTTATTGATCCAAAGTGTGAAATGTGAATTTTTCATATTTCTATACAGTTTCATGTAGGTTTAGTTAACATTTCCTTTACACAAATTCAAAATGATTGCATCAATAGAAAAATAACACAATTTTACTTGATTAAAACTAAATTAAAATTGACTAAATTATGACTAAACTTAAAATGAATTTTTGTGAAAAGACTACAAACTAAAACTAAATAAAATTTTCTTGTCAAAATTAACAATGAATAAAATCATTAAAAAGACAAAAAAAAGTACATAAAAAGAGGTAAAGTATGTCCGTGTTAATGCACCATCAGCTGTCATAATGAGGTTACAAATGAAACTGTGATTATAATGTTTTTTGCTACCAAACACATCAAAAGGTCCTTGCTATTAAGATGAGGCCATCAGGCTGTCAGACACAGCATTAGGCAATTAATGAAGAAACCATCCACTAATGCATTATTGATTGTTCTGCAGTCACACTCTTCTTTACAATCATTTCTTCAATAAAAATTAGCTTTCTTGCAAACAGTGTCACCACAATCCAATATAATTAAGACTAACAATTAATTAAATCGGGCTTTGAGGCGAAACTGACAAAGACGAAGCCACAATGGGTTACAAGACTGTTGGAAATTACGGAAAAACAGTCCCTGTGTGTTTATCTGGTTCAACCTGAAGTGTTAATCAGGTTTGTCAGGACACGTTGACCATTTCATGAATTAAATTAGTCTCTGCACCATGGTGGACCTCGTGTATGCAGCAGCTTTTTCATCAAGTCTCTGATAATCATCCCTGATTGTCTATTAGGCAAGAAACCTGGATCATCGAAGGACTCACATGTTGATTAAAACAGAGACAGAGTAATTAAAATTTGAGTGTACTAAAGCAGAGATGTTTTGTTTTCACTCACATGTGGATCACTTTGGACCAGAGCTTTCAGAGCTGGAATCTGTCGACTGCTCCGAAACTCCACCTTGGATGTGATGGACTTGACCACCAGTTTGATATGTGCATAGTCCTTCACTGAGGAAAGATTGAAGGCAAAAGGTCCTGGACTGACCAGGCTGCTGAAGTGGTAAGGGGATGGGGTGAGGAGGAGGCCCTTTTTGTCTCCCGTCAGAATATATGATGCCATGATGACGAACATGATAGCCAGGCCAAATAGGAAGCTGTAGAGACGGATCTTACAGGTGGCATTGCTCCAGCGTTTTGGTAGCTCCCGTTTCACCTCCAGAATGGCAAATAGGTTCATGGGTGCACTGTCCACCTGCAGGAGTAATGGCCTCTTGTTGTAGTCATTCACGGTGGATCCTAGAAGGTTGTACTTGTAGTCCATCTGTGTCATAATGTCCACAGGGTCAATTCCCCAGGTGTAATAGCTCAGAAAGAAGTCGTCATGCTGAGATGAAGCAGCGACCAGTAGTATGAGTTTGGATCCATGATGGTTGGTGGAGTAGAGTCCACCTCATCCTCTCACACCTGTAGACGAAAGAAACAATGTGACAGAGGACAAAAGCAGCCATGAACATCGAAACAGAGCAAGTGACTTCAATAAAACTACATTGATGGGACATAAATACATATAATGTCAAAAGAATGTTTCAGCCATTTTGAAGTGTGTTTAATGAGAACGACAGAAGCTTAGCTGTACTTAGACTAGCCATTAGCACATCAGTCCTGAAGGACATAAATGCTATTTCTACAAACTGAGGCTGTACCGACACATGGCACTACTTTAATTACTTCTTATCTAAGTTGTTAACACAACATATCTATTTAAAATCATATGCTTTAGTTGGTTAATTGTGAATCTAACATTTAGTTTGAAAAGTCAAAATCTTTGGAAAAATTCCTGCTTGAATTACATTGATTATTTTAAAAATTAAGAATTTTCGTTGGTGTGGAAAATTACATTTACATAATTTATTAGAGTTAAGTCTTGTTAAATTACCTGTTTCATACAATTTAATGAAAAATACACTGAATCTAACATAAAACATTCCACAAAATAAGGACATTTTAATACAATGTTTATGTTAGCATTAAAGGTGCAGTATGTAAAAATATAGTGATGATTTTACAGCGAGAAAATCCCAAAAGAGCCTAATGTTTCAGTCACTTTGGAAGGAATGTTGTGCTGAAACATGTTTCATATCCAGCTGATGTGAGGATTGTCAGTTTTTCAAGGAGAGATGTAACTACTGTTTACCATCAGTGGGTGTGGGGTTACTGTGTCTCCTGCGAGCTAATGCTGCAGCACTGACATTTGTAATTTGATGACGGCCAGCAAAAAGCTCCACAGGTGTTTAAACTGGTTACAGTAACCAATTTTTACCACAGGATGTTATTTTTACTTCGTTTCTACATAATGCACCTTTAAAATGTTTACATTAATATAAACTGACATATCACAATATTATTTTCCAGAATTAACAAAAGTGTAACAAAATACATTTTTGTTGGTGTGTACAATAAAATGTTAACTTGAAATAGCTTGCTAAATGAACCAGCATATTTTTGCCATGTTGATACTGGTTATTTAGCTACACCTGTTTTTCTTTATTCAGCAAGAAACAACAAGGACAATCTCTTTATTTTGGATAAAATAAGGCCTCCTAGTTTTAATTAAAACAAACCTGGCTGTAATTTTGAAAAAGAAAACATTTACCAAGAATAACTTTTATAATCCACTTCTTCATTTAGACTTGGTCATAATATTAACAACAACAAATGACCTGGATCTCAGAATCATGTTAACCAAGTTTAGATGAAATAATTGAATCAACTCTTAATGTTTATTCTTTGTTCAAACTGGTTTTGTTTTTATTATGACAATGACCAATCACATGACACATCTGTACCATCCATCCACCCTGTGCACCAAAGTCACAATTAGGAAGGAGCGTTTACGATGCAGATCTACAAGGCTAATGGAAGACTCTCCTGGGGTGGGACACGAGCATCAGAGATACCCAGGATGACCTGCAGGAGGGGTTAAATGATCAGAAATGGTTTTCTTCTCTGTGAACTCACATGGAAGAGCAATCACTCAGTGATGAACAGAAGAGTGTCAATGTTTGAAGGATGAAAGGATCGGGGATCTTGACGATAATGCGTCTTCACTAGCAAAACGTTCATTTTATCCTTGAGCCTTTATTTGAGTCTGAATCCAAGCAAGACTGTGTGGATTTGAATGTAATAATGATAAGATCCAACAGAGCTGAGTCTTTTCAAAGGATGAGCAGGATGTTCAAAAGTAGAACTGAAATTTCTCACATCCAGACTCAGAACTGCTCAGGATACAGCTAACGCTGATGTATGAAACACCTACAGCATCATCCTTCTTACATTTATCATAAGACACAGACAGCATGGGAGTGAGTCATTGTGTCTTCCACAGTTGCTGATTTCGCCTGCTAAGCCCCACTACCACCACCCATCGCTCACAACCTTCAGCACATCTGGAGCGCTTGTGGCAGAACGGAATTGGAGACTTCCTGCTCCTCTGCTCGAGCAGTGCCATTTCCCCCCATCTGAGCTGTCAACTTCACCTCACACCAACGGTCCTTCTGGGAAACAGGTGTAACCACGCAAGATCTACTCTGTGAAGACTGACTTTCAGCCCAACAATGTGTTCTCATACCAAATCATCATGCATTGTTGCAGTTGCTTGTCTTTGACGAGCGGGCTGCTGCTGAAGTGCAAGGTTTTCTTGAGAGAAAAGGTATTTGCCCTCGAGTGTTTCAGATCAGCAAGTGCATTTTATTATCATAGATAACACAAGTAAACAGAAAAAAAGCAGCTTTCAAATGAGGATTTCACTGTTAAAGCTTCTTTCCGGAGTATTTCTCTTATCCGATGGCACCATCTAGTGGCTGACAAGCATATCACACTCCTTCCGTTTTTTTAAAGTTGGCGACTTCACGTTTCTGTTCATAAAAGTGCTTCTGTAGCCAACAGAGCTAAAACACGTTGTTTTATGAGTATTATTGTATCAATGACACCTGATGTTAACTTGTGAAAAGCAGACATAGAAATATTTTATCTGTGATGTTTGAATGGAAAATAGTCACTGTGTAAAAGCCTGACCACGCACCAGCCTGTAATGAGTCAAGGAAGATTATGTGTCCATAAAAGCTTTACTTATATGAAGCAAGAAAAGCCCAAAGTGCTCATGAGCTTTTCAAGCTGGAAGTGGAATGAATAATTAATGTTATGGCTTTTAGCCATTCAATGCAATCGATTATTTTTATTACTTAAAAAATTGAGTATGTGTAGCATATTTTAAGTCCATGTCCTTCAAAAAGTCAATAAGACTCTATAAGAGGGGAGAAAAAAGTCAGAAAAAGGGGGGAAAATATGAAAAAGGAGAACATTCAAATAGAGTGAAGAGATGGAGGTGGGATGCAAAGAAGAAAAAAATAGAACAGTGTCATTGATGAGAATGTCATCCTCAAGGGAAGTCACATCTAAATCAATCAGCGTGCTAACTGTAGCGGCGGTCGACTGGCAGGTTGACAGATTTGCTCTATTCATAAAGATAATACTGCTGTCCATCACAGCTGATGAAACAGCTGCACTTGAACAGAAATACGTCCAGAGGGCAAAGGAAACAAAAGGTTGTGACTGTGACCTTTTTCTGCATCGTCCCATCTGTACGAGAGCAGCAATGTGGGTTTGAATGTTCTTACATTAAACAGAGAGGTTTATTTAGCAAGGCTTACTGTTAAAATGCATAAACATGATTGGGTTCGCGTTTTTTTTCTTTACTGCCAAACGGTGGGCACTAATGTTTTGGCCCGTGTTTTGTTTGTTTTTCTGCAGCTTAAGCATCGTATCTCATGAATAAAACTCTAAACCAACAATAAATGGATGTACTTCTGATTTACTTTTGAAATAGACCACATTCAAGGTGACACTAAAGCTAATCAACATTAGCCTCAAGTAGCTGTACTAATGTTATTTACAACAAAAATACTGAAACATTTTGTGAAAAACCTTGCAACATTTCAGTATTTTGCATTCCAAGTCTTTACCAAAATAGCAACATAAAATAAGAGTAATGAATCCCGTTTCTATTACTGTTAGCCCGGTAAGCTATCCTAAAGCTATTTATAGACAACAGATTCAAAAATGGCATAATCGGACTTCAAAGATGACACACATTGACCCAGTAAATAAATAAATCACACTCGCAACGATTGTAATTAACTTCAGCTCCACAGACATGAGTAGTGATGGTCTGCCTGCTGCGCTGATGGCTCCCTCCCTGCGTGGAGCAAATGGGATTGGCCAGACTTAATGACTAATCAGAGGGCGACTTCTCCGTGCCGTCTGCTGCCATTTGTAGGCAGAAGAATCAAACCACTCCCGTTTTCTTCTCCATTTAACAATTATTCTTTTGTGTTTGTTGTCAACTCAAAATGTGTGTTCCAGTGCAAATCCTGGATCCATTGTTCTAAACCATGTGCTGCAGCACATCAAGCTTTTTGAAAGGCTTTATTGCAGCTCTTGTCTTGTTGTGAAGATGGAACATGTTTTCCGCCTCACCAGTTGTGTGGAGTTAAACAACTGCAGCATAAGAGAGATCTTGGTTGGAAGGTGTAAAAGTGGCTCTACTGCTTTAATGCACTCCATTGTAAATGTTTTCAGAGTATCAGCACTGCTCCACAAACCTTTAATCATCCATTTCCAAACCGCAGCAGGACGTTATCATTACACCTGGCTGGAGAGGAGGTCTGCGCCGTGGAAATCACGGTCCTGCTGCTTCGATTCTCTACAGAGAAAACTAATTAAACAGGCTACTGCTGCACCCAGCTGATTTAATGCAGAGTGCCAGCTGTTTCTCCAGCTAAAGAGAACTTTTTGGGTTGATGATATCATGTAAAACTGTCAAAAGTTTTTGTTCTCCCTCACAGACTCAACTCCTGTGGTTATGTTCATCTAAATTTTCACCAGAAGATCTCATGCAAATCACTGACCTGCCTTAAATTTGATGCTTATCCGTTGTTTCCACAACAGCTAAACACATAAGGTCTTTTTGAGGTGGTCTCAGTTCACCATTCGGTGCTGTTGCACGACAGCTTAAACGCCACTTGTGTTCTGAAGCTACACGCAGATTAAAGCCAGAGCGAGAGGCTGGAATGTTGGTGTTTAACACCTAGTGAGCTGCTCAAGCAGGCCTGATATTACTGTGAATAACCGAAGAAATGTTTTGAGACGTCAGAGACAAGTTAATCACTAGATAACACGGGTGTAACCTTTTGTTAAACCAGAGATGGTGATGACTGTGGAGGAGGGGGAGGACAGCACACAGGGCTGAGAGGAGAAATGAAAGTGTTTGGGATCTTTGCTCAAAGTGCACAGGAATATAAAACAGGAAGGAATAGGAGAGATTTCTGCCCGTGAAGTCCTCGGGGACACCTGTCTTCAAGTACCGTCAACCTTTTCTCATAAGCCAGTTGGAGCTGTCTGCTGTT